AGAATTTTAGAATTAAGATATCTAGTGTGTAATCATTCTTAAGCCTTATGTTGGCTCTAAAATAGTTAAATTATGATGATGAAAAGTGCAGGTATTGAAAAACTGATGATTTCTTGAGTTACATTTATGAGAGTTCATATAAACAATTATTTACATTTACTATGGGCAACATGATGCAGTTTCTAGCAAGATGCTGTTTTTAGTATCAAAACACAACATATTATGATTGTGTAGGTAATGAGTATATTTTGATTAGATACAATAACATCATCTTTTATGTATTGTCATCACCCACACTTTTTCCTCTTCTTCTTTCATTAATGGTGGGGTGTCGAGACATAAAAAAAATTGTGGTGGGGTGCCGAGACATAAAAGATTTGTTCAATTGAAACAACAAGCTGACCAATTGATGCAATACTGGAAGGTATAACCATTCATTCTTGTTCTCGTTAATTTATACCAACAAATATCAATGTACATAGTCCTCTTAGGGTGTATTCAAATATAAAGGAACATGAGTGAGGGGAAATAAGTTCGTGCATCTTTTCTTAGGTTTGTATTTTTTAGACTGTTAAAATTTGGATCACCTAAGTTTAATATTTACATTGTTATCATATTATTATAATAAATATTTAGTTGAACTTGGTTAATATTCAAAGTGTAATTTTTTTGGAATATCAGGAGAAATGTTCAAAGCATTAAATGATGACAATTGACCACATGCAAAAATCGTAGATGCAATACATTCACAATAGAGTAAGGTGTGGCCTTTGTTTGGTACTTATAAAAAAGTACATCAGACATGTACTCATTAATGTACACTAGTTTGAGATTTGGTGAGATTTAGTTGTATGACACTCAACCATACCTCCAAGTTTTTTATCGGAATGAATCTTATTAAAGTACTTGATGAATAATGTATGTTATTAACTTGAAGTTGTTGTCTGATTAATTTGATGAAGTTATTAAATATTGGAAGTCACATGTTGTTCACTCATCCCTTCTTTACTGATGTGTGTCATACACACAATTTAAAATTTTAATTGTTATTATATTTATCTTTTTGTAATTCCTTTTATTAACTTGTGATGTATTTATTTCTGTTTTCTTACATTTTCTTTTGATTTCGCTCGCAGGCATATGCTAGTAGTGATGATGGTCGTCTGTAGGAAGACTGGGATCCACGAATTGGGCATATATAATGGAGTCTGTTATTGTTTTTCAGATCCTTGCTATAGTCACTAGCTTTTTAAGATGTATTTTAGATGTCTAGTTCATTTAATACACTGTAAATTTAGATTAGTACTATGAATATGGATGTAAGTACTGTTTTAAGACGTTGATGCTCAATCTGAAGGTGATAAGATTAAACTTTCTTCAATGTTAAATATTTTTTATAACGCTTATTATTATTTTATATCTAAATATTATTGTACATTGAAACTCAAAGTTGTCTAATTAATTGTTAAAAATATAAAAATATAAAAAAACGGTGTAGCATGTTAATGACGAATGGGAAGACTGTTACTTAAAACACTATAAAAGTGTTGCATATTAAAGTGTTACTCCGTATAAATGTTACATTACATAAAAAAATGTTGCAAACCAGTATAATAGAAATGTTACATAAATAAAAGATTGATGTTATCTAAAGTCATTTTTTTGTGTTGCATTTTATTTCAAAAAGTGTTGCATAATGTGCATGTTAAATAATTGAAAAAAGTGTTGCATTTGGGTTAATTTTGCAACATTTATATAAAGTGTTGCATAACATATTAAAAAGTGTTGCCTATGACTTTATGCAACGAGACCTGAAGTAACATTCATATAAGTGTTACACTAGGCTTTTGTAACACATTAACAAGTTTATGTAACATTTTAGAGGCGTTGCAAAAGGTCCATTTTGTTGTAGTGTATGTAGTTTTATATTTCCTCCCATCTGTTCCTTACTAAGACATACATATTCTGATATTCTTTCAAAATGTTGTTTAAAACTGAATATCCTCAACACTATTTTATACTTCCTCCGTCCCTAATAACTTTGCCAAGTTTGACTGGCACAAGGAATAATAAAGTAAAAATTGTGTGGTTGAGGTTTATGCAGGAGAGAGAATGAACTGGAACCACAAATTCTTTACTTAAAAGGGAAAGTGGCAAAGTTAGTGGGACATTCAAAAAAGGAAAGTTGGCAAAGTTATAAGGGACGGAGGGAGTAGTAGTTTGTTCCGGTTTAACTAAATACATTTATATAAAGTAATTCTTTTAATATATCTCTATAACATTACAAATGCTTGGTAACATAAAGATTATCCAAATTGTCCAGAAATCAATTCCAGTTACAATGAAAAATTCATGAATTCTGTTGCCCTATCAAAAAGCATTTTTGGTTGTAAGAATCCCCAAATTCCTTGAAGTTGTATTAATAAAAGCTTAAAAATTGTACCTCAACATCATAAAAATTCATTCCAAGTGTTCTGGACATTCTTATTGTTGTATGACATCAAAGAATAGATAAGCCTCTATCTCAGCGTCCGATTTGACTTCGTGTTGAGTGAGCTTATGGACTTTGTTGAACATCATCTTCTCTAGATTTAGCAGCATTTCTGTAACATAAAGCTTTTATTAGCAAATACAGTAATATAAATCACTAACAATATGTGTTTATGGTTAGGTACTTAGGCATGGACAATTTGTGGACTTATGATAACACACAATGATCAAGTGCCTTCACAACTACTCCAGACATTTTTGCTGGAGTGTGGATGAAATATGATGGTGAAAGAGTTATGTACAACAACCCCAAGCAGTTATTTCAACATGGATCCAAACATGTAAATGTGGCTTATAGAACTGTGTTAGAAACTGTCAAGAAACTGCTATATGTTTTATCCTAATCCGACACCTGGATTTAGTTAGTTTCTGCTTTTGTTTGCCACCCATTTTTTGGGTTGGGCGTTTTTTCATTGAATTGCACGTGTCCAATTAAGTCTTCATCGGGTTACGCAACATTTGCCACAATGGAATCAGGTGGGAACAGATTTTCCCAGCCGATTCCATTGTTATATATATAAAGATTATGTGTGCTTATTTTAATGTTCACATTTATTTTTATTTTAATTCCATTTATTATAGTTATTATAAGTCTTTCGCATTATTTAGTAAGATACTAAAAAGATAGAAGTAATTTACACAAACTCAAATTTTATTTAAGGCACATAAAAGTTCTAGAAATACATAAAGATTTTAGAAAAAACATAAATAGTACAAATACGAAGTTAACACTAGTAAATGAAATACATGAAACACAATTGGATTAAGAAAACACATAAATATTTAAGGGAGGCATATAAATTACATTCCATTTACATGGTGCCTCCACAGGTGGTTTATGAGATCACTTTTAAGCGATGTGTGCACCGAGGAGTCTCGAATTCAATTGTGACACATCATATACTCACTCAAGGTTGTGCCATCATGGTTAAGATCCAATTCAACTATGCCACCAATATAGTCATAGTCTTCACGGCAGTCTTGTTGGGTTGGTTTTTCATCCTTCTCTTCATATTCATCTTGCACTATCATGTTGTGCATTATAATGCATGCCAGCATTATATCACCTAATGTGCGTATGTCGTGCAAGCGTGCAGGACCTCGCACAATAGCCCACCTAGCTTGTAAAATTCCAAATGTTCTTTCAACATCCTTACGAAAAGCCTCTTGCATTGAAGCAAAAAGCTTTTTCTTAGGAGTGTGGATGACTTATTGTCTTGACAAAAGTTCCCCAACTTGGGTAAATCACGTTGGCTAAATAATAACATTGATTATATGGCTTACCGTCCACGCGGAATTGTACCTGAGGGGCAGATCCATTTATAACAACATCAAATTAAAGACCGGAGAGCTTGCAAGAGTGTTGAGGTCATTATTGGAACCGACTGTGCCAAAAAATGCATGCCATATATGAGTATCATAAGAACCAACTACTTCGAGCACAATTATTGGTTTTCTTTTGTACCCGGTGTACTGACCGACCCAATATGTAGAACAGTTTTTCACTCCCAGTGCATGCAATCAATTGACCCAATCATCCCATGTGATATGAATGACACACATAATGGAAACAACAATTCTTGGTGTACACTTTCTTATACACATCAGTACACCCTCGTGTCTGTGGGAGTTTATTTTTGTTTGTGAAAAAATCCACAAACAAAAACTGGCTTGTTTTGTCTGTGAAAAATTCCACAGACAAAACAAGCCAGTTTTTGTCCATGCACTGGGATTCACAGACAAAAAAAACTCTCACAGACACAGGGGTGTACTAATGTGTATAAGAAGGTGTACAAAAGGAATTTTCGTAATGGAAAAGAGAATCCAAGGTGATATGAATACACACAACAAGTTAAAAAGGGAATCCAATGTGCTATGGATACACACACAAGTTGAGAAGAGAATCCAATGCTCCAATGTGTTTGAACTCACTTCATCAAAAAATGTAAAATTTTTTAATGAAATTTGTTTTTTTTTACATCGAAATGTGTATTTTTTATTTTATAATTAATCAGAGAAAAATTTAAAAGAAAAACATTACTTATAATAACTTAATTAATGTTTTACTAAATTGATATGTAAAAAAATGTGCAGAGTGTATTTTATTAACGGTGCTGGAATGCAGAGAAATATGAATCAAAACATTGTTTTCATATGAACGGAGTCTATTTTTGACATTTAGACTCTGCCACCACTTCAAATGGTCTTACATACTCTCTCCGTCTCTTAAAACTTTGTCATCTTTCCTTTTTTGGGACGTCCCAAAAAATTTTGCTACTTTCTATTTTAGTCACTTATTTTGTTGTTTCTGTTATTTCTCTCTCTTCTGCACAAAACTCAACCACACAGTTTTTAATTTATTATTATTCTCCGTGCCGGTCAACTTTGTAGTCAAAACCGTCAAAGTTTTAAGTGACGGCCAGTATTAATTAACCACGTATTTGACAAAACAAATAGTCAAAATAAACCAATGTAAAGGAACCCTAGTATATTTTGAAATCTTCCCCTGGGAAGTCTCGATCTCCACCTGACAATTGAATCTGTTGAATGTGGAGCTTCCTCTTTGCGGCATCCATCATCGTTCTTCCGCTAAAAGCCCCCGGAAAGCCAATCAAGTCGCTGCAACCTTCCCATCATCACAGGATTCACCTCTGAGACTTCGTCTAAACCACAACGTCGACGTCCTTACCTCGTTGGCTCTGCGTTTCGTCCCTCCCTGCCTCAAAACACTGAACTCCTCCGAGCCTGTGCATATCTTCGCCGTTTCAACACATATATCGGCCTTGTCCGAGGTATCTGTCCTCGTTTCAGGCTAATCATACGTCACGCAGGGTGTCCTACGCCCAACGTGTGCCCGAGTGTCTCTGTCCCCGCCTAGCCTGGCGTTTCTGTGCTTCATCGGTATTTGATTGATATTAATTTGATAGTACCTTCAGATCATTTTTTTACCATTGATCTCTTGTGTTTAGCTATGATCATCCCCACCTCTAAGGCTCTAATTGACAATGCTACTTGTGTGCGCTTGAGATATTCATACATATAAGCATAACTCGGTGCAAGGCTTTAAGTAATTTTTGGCACAATTGGTATTTTTTTCTTGTTGCTAGAGTTTTGTTTGAAACTCTACAGTTTCATAAAAAACTCAATTCCCTTTCCCTAGTAATTGAAGACAATGTTTTACACAGGACCTATTTGTATACTTCTGTGCTATTGGAGTTTCACATCCCTTGTTATGCAATTGCAAATGTAGGTCTAACAGTGTGACAAGTGTTTGATGTTTAATATACCATACTGTATGACATAATGGGCTTATCCGTACTAAACTTCCATGACGAGCTCTGTTTACTGTATGACATCATGTCACACAGTGTGATATGTCATGTGCAGTTTGAAGTAAAGTTTGAGGAAGTAGCTTTTTGGACAGAGCTTTTCTTCGCATGGACGGGCTAAGCATTATTTGAGTGCATGCTTGTAGTGTCAATACTTGATCTATCTATGTTCTGAATATGAATGGACATAATTGCAGCTAACGTCAATGCTAAATCATGGTTGTTACGTGCTAATATATTGGCAGGTCCATTTATTTGTCTCTAGTTATTTAGTTGCTCTCAAGCTCGTTTTAGGTGATTATATTTATATCCATGTGTTTTAACTTTGCAGGAGGCATTTTGGATGGTCTTAGAACTATATATTAACAATGACATCAAGTATGTTGACTGGGGAGCGAAGGTAATGAGAAACCTTATTCTGAGTCTGTCTTTAAAATACTCTGCAAACTCAATACCCGATTTTTCCCCGATGGGTTTGATATTTAAACCTTTTATCTGTAACCAGAAGGTAATTTATGCTAATGTAGTTGTAGGCTCCTATACTTCAAAATCTAAGTCGAAAAGAATTATAAATATATAATTGATATTCCAGCTGTTTGAAATGAGACATAAATGTGAAACATAGAATATAGCAGGTTAGGATCTTCTTAGTATGTAGCGAGGTTTGGAATTGGTTAGAGAATTAGAGCTTTTCCAGATTTTTCATTATTAAGAGCAATTTTTCATTACTTCATTTAAGGTGGACATCTGCACGGAGAGGTGGCATGACTGTCCTTGGAAAAGTTGCTGTTCCAAAACCCTTGAACTTACCAAGCCAAAGGTATATTTTAATGTTTATGTAGTGTTCCACTTAAGTGCTATACGTTTTTGTTGCTTTCTAAAATTTTATTTGCTAATATATATAGATTAGAAAACCATGGACAGAACCCGGATGTTGAGATTGTTCCCAAGTAAGTACTCTCTACTTCATGACTCTAGACATTGTATTTCTATCCATGTTTGCATGATTGAATGTGAGGCCTTAGGCCTTAGCTAGTAAGTTCCTACTTTGATATCCCTCTTGAAAAGGAACGTCTTTTGGTGTTATATTCATTTCTTGTTCATTGAGACCTTTGTTCTGTGATTCAGGGGAACTCTCAGCTGGGGAAGTAAACCGTCTTCCTCCACTCCAAATGCATGGACCTCCTCCACATTGTCCCCGAATGCTGATGGCGGTACTAGCTCACCAAGTCATCTCAGTGCTGGCGTTTCTTCTGGCGGGAATGGTAGCCGACCATCTACTGCCGGCAGTGATAGAACTCATGAACATAATGTGGCTGCATGGGGCTCCAATTCTAGGCCTTCTTCAGCCTCGGGTGCACTGTCTTCAAGCCAAGCATCATTGGCATCCTTACGCCCACGAAGTGCAGATACAAGACCTGGCAGCTCTCAACTTTCACGTTTTGCAGAAACCAGTTCTAACCACCCAACACCATGGGCACCTGGTACTTCTACAGAGCGATTGGTATGCTATTTTTGTTCTATGAAATTCTATACTGTTCTCTTTGTAAATCTCTATTTTTTGCAATATTCAATAGGTGAATTGTATTTATAAGATGCTTATAGATGTGTCAAAAAATCTATACGAAAAAGTGGATAACTTTGAAATTCAATTAGAATGTATGATATGTGTTGAATTTTTTTACTGTACAATAGTGGTACATATTCATTTTTATGAATTTTAAATTTTTAATATTTGAACAATATCTTTTTTTTTTGAAAAAAGGAAACATTTTATTGAGAAAGATAAAAGATTACATGCTCTAATGAAGGATTGAACAATATCTATAATTGGTAGCTTTAACCTTAAGCTTTCATATATTCTCTTTCCCATTGTATTCAAATCATTCATTTTCAATTTTCCATTTTTTCTTCTCCTTCATACTTTGTATTGTTTTTCTCTTTTTTCTTTCATACTTTTTCTACCTTAATTTTTTTCCTCTGCCATTTTCGTAATATCTGAAATACCTAGTTTGCCGATGGCTGTCCGCAAGAGAGAATATAATATAAAATGGAAGAAACAGTATTAGAATTTCATATTGCGATTGAGAAACCTGATAATTTATCGAATATCATAAATACCATTGTTTGTAATTGCGCAATGCAATTGCGCCTCATGGCGCGCCTCAGCTATTTCCTACACTATGGCATAAAAGGCATTGCATATGGCATTGGGAGTGTGGCGTACGCAATATTGCACTGAGGCGTACGCAATAAGGTGCTATGTGGCGTACGCAATAGGAGAAGGTTAGAGGGTAAGGGTATTATTTGGGTCCACCCGGACCACCTTTAAAACTTTATAATTGATGTTATGATCCCTATTTCAAACCACTAGTTATTGATTGGATTTTTTCAGTCGATCAATCTAATTAATTAAAATTCTCATATCTTAGATTTTTTTTATAAACGATTCAGAAAGTTTTGGTATTCTATGGTACTTTGAAGTTTGAACATATTACTTTGCTAGGACTATGGCCTCTTATTCTAATTAATTTAAATTCTCATACCTTTATTCTATGTTTATTTTTTATTATGTTTATATGTGTGTGTGTGTGTGTGTGTGTATTACGCCTCAGGCATACGCCTCGTTGCGCAATGAGGCTTACGCAATATGCAATACTCAAAAAACGCCACGACTACGCAATACGCAATTTCGAACCTTGATAAATACAATTATAAACTATTGGAACATAGTAGACTTCTAAGTACATTATGAAAATTGTAAAAAATAGGTGATGTTGCTATTGGAGAAATCTCATTTCCTTAACATGTGTCTTATTTACTACAGAAAAATGTGAATAACCACTGCCTTCCTGTACATGTATCCAACAGTATTAGAATTTCATATTGCGATTGAGAAACCTAATAATTTATCGAACATTGTAAATATAATTATAAACTATTGGAACATCATACAGACTTCTAAGTACATTATGAAAATTGTAAAAAACAGATGATGATGCTATAGGAGAAATCTCGTTTCCGTAACACATGTCTTATCTACTACCAAAAAAATGTGAACAGCTGCTTTCATGTACATGTATCCAACTTTTTTTTTATTGTCGATAATCTTTGTTTATTATTTTAACTTAAGATGTTAGATCATTATATAAAAACAGATACAAAGATTAACCATTTGTGATCCATGAAATTAATGAAAGGAACTCATAGTAATAAATCTTCAATAACTAAATATCTAAAAATGTATCAAATGCTTGAAATATTCAAAATCAGAATAAGGATTAGAAGACTTTGGATCTTTGCCACTAATATCTCATAGTTACAATTGAAAGGCGTCTTCTTTGATATGCTCTACTGAAAAATTATTATTAACTGAATACAGCTTCAACAATTTTTATAAATATAATAAACCCATCATTTAATCCACAAACTAACAAATCCTAGAATCATACGTACATCTCTTGTAATATATTATTCTTCATACACAACTCTGTGTGACCACATATGTTGTATTAGTTGATTATGTGATTATACTCCTTTAGTCCTCAATAGTGTCTTGATTTAAACAGACATTTATGTGTATTTATGTGTATATATTTGAACAAAAATGTACATATCTCTAGATTCTACATAAAAGCAGCCAATTAAGTTTTTTTCATAACCTAAGATATGGTGAAGAGGTTTCTTAAAATGATTTGTAGAGTCCGGGTGTTTATATCATACGGAGTATCATACTCTCAAAGATGTCGTAAGTTATAAATCCCTGTGAATTGTTTTTACTCTGAAAAGAACCCTGCATAATAATTCATTTCGGATAATGAGTTAAATAATGTTGTCCAATGTAGAATAATCACAATTCATGAAGAAAAAGACATTGAAAATGTATTCAGTTTTATACCAACTATAAATGGCCATCAAAATACTAGTTGTGTAAGGCCATTTAATAACATTTCACGGCATCTGGCTACAACTATGCTAAGATGATAGGCCATTTAATAACTCTTCCCATCATACTTGTCCCGGCTGCAAGTCGCGTCGCTAGCTGACCGCCATATTACCTAGGTGATAATGCACCTGCCTAGGCAGCAATTAAGCGACTAGTCGCACATTCTATATTCTATATATAGTTATATATAATTATATATCATGTACTATCCTCCGTTCTTTAATTCTTGCAACACTTTGACTTTCACGTTTGACAACGCACAACTTTGACTGTAATTATATTTAATTATGTATTAGTAAACATTATAAAAAGTTGATATTTTGGAAATTCACATTGATAGGAATTCAATAACATTTTATACGAAATAATTTGATTATGTATATTAGTAGAAAATCGTAGTCAAAGTAAGGTCTGCGAATAGTGCAAAAGTCACAATGTTGCAAGAATTAAAGAACAGAGGAAGTTTAATACTACAAGATCAGAGGAATCAGAATTGGTATGCGTCTTCTTAGGTTGGATGAGAGTATGACTATGGGCAGATCAAAGTGGAGAGCGCATATACGTGTGGACGATTGATCTCTTTTCTTCCTCTTCCCTCTCTTTCTTTCTTTTATCTTTTATTATATATATCATTCTATGTTCTTATGTTCCTCTTTTATTTTCATCTTTTATTTTTCTTATGTCCTTTATCTCTTTTATCTTTTATCTGTCTTATCACTCTTATGTTCTTATTTTAATTTTATCTTTTCCATTTTATCTTACCTTATTTTTTTATTTATCTTTCTTCTCTTTTTTCCCCTGATATCATGGATGTTGTTGTATAATACTATATGTCTACATATATTACTAATTAAGTTGTATTTCATTATATATTACTAATATATTACAAAAATTAAAGTAGGTATTTCATTATTTTCATATACTTATATACTTTACAAAGAGTTAAAGGTATTATTAAAGGTATTTTTACTTAACCAAAAAATAACCCTGTAGACTGTAGATAGAATACTAAATAATGTTTTTTCTTAGTGTCAGAATCTAAACAGTTTTGTCAATACAATGAGATCTTCAAATAGATGTCAAAAACCTTTCAGAAAACGTATGTATATAACTGTTTTTCTGCATATACTAACACCTCAAACTCGTTCACCATGGTCCATGAAGAATATACAATGGACAGCGAAGGGCTGCATAGCCTCAGCCCCTTTCGATTTTTTTTAATGCTAGTATATAAGTATGGATATCTATTATGGAGTATTTGTTAAATTTTAAACTTTTGCCCCCCGTCATAAACTCTCAAACCTTGACCCCCTAAAAAATGTTTCTTACTCCGTTACTGATGATATGGTATAACATTTTTCATAAAATGTCATATGCATGTGTTATATGTGGAAGTTCGGTCACTTTGTCTTTGACCTGCAACATTAACCACGCTTTCAGTAATCAACATTTAACATAACAACCTCAAAATTTGCCTACAGCTTCACAAAATCAGAATCTAAATGGAAACATAGAGCCTGTTTGGTAGCACGAAAATCGGCTGATTTGGTTGATTCTGCTGAAATTTATGAAGTTCTGGGCCTTATGGCTAAAGTGGCTGCATTGGCTGATTCTGCTGATTTAAGAAAAAAATATTTTTAAAATATATATTATTAATAAAATAAAGAAAAAATTATATTTAAAAATAGATAAAATGATCATCTACAGTAACTTCAGCCAATACATCAGCCAATACAGCCAGAAAAGTAACTCCAACCTTACTTTTTCTACTTATTACACAATTCAGCGCGCAAAAGCAAAAGTTACATGTTTGGTGAAAAAGTTGGCCGATAAGCTGAAAAACAGTGTTGCCAAACAGCCTCATAATCTAGAAAATGAAGAAATGTACCTGGAGCACAAGTAGATTTAACCACGAAGATTATGATGCACAATACTCGTATATAACTATATATACATGCACGTACATCTAGTTCAGGGGCGGCCAAATTCATTAGACGGCTCTGATCTAGTTTATACACGGAGTATAAAAGACACACTTGTACTATGTTGTTTCTGACCCACTAAAGAGTGGAATATTCAACCACTTCTTTAAAACTTGAAGTCTCACATTTCTTGTGATAATTTGAAACATGTGGCTCTTGGTCAGCTATATATTGGTTCTGGCGGGTAAACATTGTGTTGTATTTGTACGGAAAAGAGTATTGAAAAGACTAATTGTGACCAAAGGTGGACTGCCCTATATGTTGCTCCACATTCCAATGCAATATTGGGACCACTTCTGCCTCTAGAGATTTCAACCGGGCTCTATATAGTAGCTGGTAACTCAATAAATCTCCTATCGACATTACTCCTTTTCAAACCTACAACAGTAGTGCTGCGTAAGGAGACCATTACTCCGTACTGGATATATTTTAAACCAAAATTTGACCCATGCTTTTTGGCGGAAAAGTGGACTCTTTTTCTTCTCCTTTTGTCTATAGTAAGATATCCTCTTTCAAGATCTATTTGGCAGTTATTTGTCTATCTCATAGTATACAACATGTAATCAAGAGGAGTATGTTGTAACTCTAGTATTGAATCTTGTTTGTGCCTTTTTCCTTAAAATTTTGACTTCCGAGTCTAATAGCAAAAACGTGGCAAGTGAGATGCAGTTCATGAACTCATAAGTACTTGCTTCTAGCAGTGTTTTTAGTTGACAACTTGACATATGATCAGTACATGGTGGTCTTTGTTTAGTCATTATCATTTGGATTCATTATACATCACTTGGTCAATGTACTTTTTATTCTCTAGAACTTTCATGATTTCTTTCACAAAGCTTGGGCATGCCATGGTGATTAGCTAGTATATATCCAGGGTTTCGTTCTTTGTATTGAAACTGTATTTCACATAACATTTATGATTTTTAGTAATAGTTTTGTTTGATTCATAAAGTATTGGTCTAAATTACATTATTGAACTTCCAGGGGATCTTAAACACTAAGAATGATGGCTTTTCTCTTAGTTCTGGGGATTTTCCTTCTCTTGGCTCTGAAAAAGATAATCCTGGGAAGACAAATGAGGCGCAAGGTGGTGTTCCAAATAATCCTTCAATGTGCACATATTTATGCTGTAAATTCTTTATTATTCATTTCTTAGAAACATTGTTTACAGAATTGTTATTTTCTGATAGGTCAAAGCTCTCATGGTTGTCCTGGCTCACCATCGGGTAAACTCTCACATGACACGGGCAAGGTGGATGAAGCTAGCTCTGGTCAGTATAATATAATGTTTTCATCTTTAATTAATTGTGCCCGGCATCATATTTTAATTTTTGGTAATTGACACCATTGAAATTATATATATTTTGCGATTTTAAAATGTCTTGGTAATAGAGCAAGATGTCAAAAACGGAGCTGTTGGCATGTGGAGAAGAGATGGTCCGTACCATGTTGATGATGGCATCCCAGGTGGCATAGACATGTGGCAAGGGGATCCCCACCACCAGTATGCAAATTCTGATATCCCCCCTCAACATTTTGATGCATGGCGTGGTTCTCATGTGCCCCCTCCTACTGGTGTTTGGTATAGGGGACATCCTGGAGTACCTCCTTATGGACCCCACGTTGGTCCCGGTGGGTTTCAATTTGAACAATATCCACATTACAGGCCCCACCAAATCCCTCATATAGCTAATTCACATCCAGTACCTCCTCAAGGGCATGGTCCTAGAGGGCCCCACCCAAGAAGTAATGATTTCTATAGGGCGCATATGCCGGACAGTTATGTTCGCCCAGGTATGCCATTTCAGCCTGGGTATTACCCTGGCCCCGTGGGTTTTGAGGGCTATTATGGACCACCACCTATGGGGTATTGCAATTCCAGTAAGCAGGACATCTCACTTATGGGCATGCCTCCGGGGCCTGCTGTTCTTAACAGGTTTCCAGCACCGAATGCTCACGATCCAAACAATTCACATGCCAGATCAGCTAGCCATGGTGGTGGCAATAACATGTTCTTGCCTGAACAAGGAGAGTGTGTTCATCATGACTATGCTCGACCGCCATATAAAGTTCTTCTAAAGCATCATGATGAACGCGATAGAGGAGATGAGAGAGGGGAGACTTGGAAACGGTCTGCATTGGCTAATACTTCACATGGAGATGGGATCTGTCATCAGCCTGGGGGGATGAAGAATGAATGGGAAGTCCATAGTAGTGAAGAAGCAATGAATGAAAACTCTAATTCACACAGTGTTGATAATCGAAGAGACATCTCTTCAGATAATGTCAAATTCGAATCAGTTGAAGGTCTGGACAGTATTAGCCCAGCTCCATACGGCTGGGATCAAAGATCAGTAACAATGGAGCCCTCTCATGGAATGGCTATTCAAAAAGGCCCAGTTCTGGCAGTTGCTAGAAAGGAATCAACTCTGATGAAAAAGATTGAAGGTTTGAATGCAAAAGTTCGTGCTCATGATGACCATTTCGATCCACGAAATGAAGAGCAAATTAGACCCTTGGTTAATGCAAAGTTTGAAAGTGCTACAGATGATGATACCAGAAGCTCAACTAAGTACTATGAAACTCATGGCTCTGACATGTCAAGGTTGTTGGTCTATCTTTGGTTTATATCTCTGTATGTATCATTTATTTCTTCTCTCTATAATTGAAAACTCTTCAAAATTTTCAGGACAACCTCTCATGCTTCAAAGGGCAGAAATGATAATCATCCCAGTAAAGCTAAGTTCAGTTATCATGATGATAGCTGGCGAAAGCATCCTCATCCTACTGAATTCTCAGCTGTGTTATCATCACATAGTACTACTCCTGCTTCTAATGTTCAATGCAGTATCTCATATCCTCAAGTTGGGCATACTGAACTTACTGTAACTAGTTTACTGGAGAAGGATGAGAAAGAATCCATATCCGAATCATTAGATGGCCAGACACAGGTACCAACAGCCATTGTTTCATGTTTAGTCACAATCATCATAATCACCAGTACCTTAATTGCAACTAGTTAGGGTGTTGGCAACATCAAAATTGTTTCAGTTAACCCTATACGGTTGCTCAAAAATATATTGAGAAAAAGAGCATTAATCAAAATAAGCAGAACAAGGCCTCGTTTGGTAGCCATAACCAACTTATTTTGTTTATTGTGCTTATCAGCAGAATAATAATCAAAATAAGCACATTAAGTGTGTTTTTGACTTGCTTATTTGTCTCTCAAAACGTTTTACTTGTTGACTCACGTTTCAGAAAATTGAGCTGATTGACTTTACTGAGCCACCTACTTGTTGCCCATTTGAAAAGTCAGCAAATTCACCCATCTCATCTACTAAATCACCCTTACCAAACACAGTATTCCTTTCCTGTCGTCTGTGACAGCCTTCTTAAGAAGGAATAGTGAGATGAATTTGAAAGTCATCACCCTGGCCTTTTCCACTTGCATGAAAAACATTATGTCATTATGAGACGGCATCATGATGAGTTTAGATGGTTGTGACTCTGTTATGGGCACATATTCCATTAACAAGATTGATAAAACCGACCTGCATAGCCTAGAATATAGCCATAATTCATCAGTTTTAAACATTAAAATTTACTATGTAAATTGTTCTTAATGTGTTCAATTAGCGTGCTAAGAAGGAAGAGTTGGAAAAGCGTGCCTTACAGCTACAGAAAGAAGAGGAAGAACGGACTAGGGAGCAGAAGGCCAAGGCTCTTGCTAAACTGGAGGAATTGAATAGGCGTATGCAGCAGGGAGATGATTCTTCTTCAATACATATGGTTGAAAAGGTCCCACTTACCATTTCCATGAAGCAAGAACAAGGAGGAGAGGGTACAATTCGTGAATCACCCAATGAACCTCCGTCCACAAAACCTGGTGATGTCGCTGAAATAAATGGGGACATACCTCCTAGAAAGGGTAGTGAAAAAGCTGAGTTGCAGCCTAATACTGGACATGGTCTGATTTCGACACATCAGCAGGATCTCCATCCACCTGGCACTGCCCTGCAAGCTAATGAGAGGTATAACAAACGTACTGCTGGCTACAAGCAAAGACAGAATGTGGGAGTTCGTAATAAGGATCTGAACGAACCATCAGCTCCCGTAGTGGCTGCTGCTAGCGAGGCCCCAAAGAATCATCTTATTGATGATGTGTCATCTGAGGGTGCTATTCATGGTGCTGGCTCAAGCAATCCCAATGCCTTCAGTACATTGACAGAGTCCGGTTTGCAACAGAGAAAGAAAGGGAGCAGGAATGGCAAGAATAAGCAGAAGACGATGGATGATACTCCGCCTTCTATTTCTGCTTCACTGCCCACTACAATGCAAACAGACGGTACGACTTTGAAACACACTGAAAATGAAGTTTCTGATATAAGCTCTATTCAGGCAATAATGAATACTGACAATGGGCTGCAAACATCAGAGCTACACGTTCCTTCATCTAGCAAAGAAGGCCATGTCAGAGTAAATGATCAGAAAAGATCTCAGTACCCTCGCAAGATAGCCAGAAATCAACGTGCTAATAGATTTGTGGACAAATTGTATGGGAGTGATGCTGTTGTGTGGGCCCCTGTGCAACCACAGACCAAACGTGAAGCCGTTGTTGAAACCGTCCAGAAAAAGGTCCTACCCGATGAACCTGCTCCTACTCCGGTGACGGGTGACTACGTGGCGGTGCCACAGAGTAGTAACAGTAATCCTAACAAAAGCAAGCGGGCTGAAATGGAAAGGTACGTTCCGAAGCCTGTTGCGAAGGAGCTTGCCCAACAGGGAAGTAGTAGTTATCAACACCACACGTCCATCACTTTCGGCTCCCATACATCAGTATATATAAACCCAGACAGTAATTTGGATGGTTGGGGCATGCCTATTGCTGATTCTGTACCTCGACCAGTGTCTTTCAGGGAAGCAATAGATGTAGAAGGTGGCAAAACAGGAAAAGACGGGAAATTGAATTCTTCATCCACTAGCAGACAAGACTACAATAAAAGCACAGTAAAACCTGTTAGGCCCGATAATAACAGAAGCAGTAAAAACACAACGGCTGGAAGAAATCACGTTCAACCGGCGGTGTTGCCTGAAGTTAAGGAGACGGATAGAACTGCAGTTGCCCCTAAAGAAAACCGTATCAGTGTGCCTCATTGGAAACCCAAATCCAATGTGCATGTTCCTCCACATTCTGAGAAGAGTGAAGTTCAGGGTGAGGATGATGTGAAAAAGCAACAAGATGAGCCTAGAAGAGGAGGGGGAAAGCAAAACACCTCCAGGGGAGGGAGGCCTTACTCTCCAAACCAACCTCCTGCTGGCATGGACGATGAATTTGCTCCTTCAGAAACTCAGCATGATCGGAGATTTACCTCATCAGGGTCCCGAAGGGGCGGTAGTGTGCCAAACAGCCATCACAATAGTAGCAGGGGCAGAGAGTCAAGTGGAGATTGGTCTTCTGGGCATGACGAAAACAGGGAAAGGCGGAGGAATAATAGTAATATGCATTATGCATACCAGCCGGTTGGGCAACACAATAAATCAGGAAACTTTGGTGGTCCAGCAGCAGCATATTATGGGTCTCAGAGGGATGCTCCGAGATATCGAGAAACGGGACAGTCTAGACGGGGAGGAAAAAATTATCATGAGAAGAAAGGAGGGAATTCCCGGGAAGATGTTGGTTATGATTGTGATTGATGAGAAGATGGATTTATTTTTATGTGATGTGAAGGAAAGTTTCTGCTATAAATGTTTGTTTTATCAGGTTTGGATTTGACCAGTTAGTTACTTTGTTCAACTGATTTACATTTACACGCCGGTGGTGGTTAGAGCAGACCATTCCTAGCAAGGAATGCAAAGGAATGGAACGACTAAAGATAAATTCCCTAACTTAAATGTTTTGTGGTATTTTCCCTGTTCTTCATCACTCATCATATGAATGAAGGTTCTGTATTTAAAGTTAGCATTTGCCTAAATTTAGTTGATTTCGATAATCGCTTTTCGATTTTCATCTTTTATACCAATTCGGCAACACATGTTTTGATAAAATATTACGTAGTACATAATTTTTGGTGCTATACTGCTATAGAACTAAAACATCGGGTCTTATTTATTGTTTAATGTTGCGGTCGCTTTTCATTTTTGGTGTTTATAATTTTAACAGTTAAAAGCTTATGGCATAGGAATATAGGATGTCTAATCATAAGAAAGGTGATTTTGATTTTGCAGGACAGTTCAAGCAAAATTGGAATTTGCACTTGAAGAAATTAATATGGAAATAATGAATACAAAATATGTGTAGTGACTTCATATTGAAAAAAGTGACTTTAGATGGGTAAATGTCTCAACTCCCCTAATGTGATTCATCTCCTCAAAACATATTTCCATGGGTAGATGTGGATTCCCACACAGCTCCTCAAACCCAGCCAGTGATGGTTCTCGTGACTCATCTCTTGGATGATGACAACTCTTTCACGATGTCACCTTGGTCCAACTATGCTATAGGTTTCTTCGATTCTATGGCTAGTTATGTTGAGAATGCTGCCCTCAACGATTTCTTCATCGTCCAGTGTCATAAAAGATGATTTCTTACTAGTGATGTTTTCTTCTTGTTCTTTCATATGAAATTCAGTTATGATTTGGGATGATTAATTTCTTCATCGGGGTTTTGAGGTCGAGGATCATGATCAAGCTTTGGTTGATTTTATTACTGGTGGTGGGTTCGGTCTCACGAAATGATTGATTTCATGGCAGCGATGCATCAAAATATTTCAAAATAATGCCCAAGTGCAAATGAATTAAACAAATAATTTTTTGTATATTGATCTGATTTTTATTTTTAAGTTTTATTAAAAGTCAACTAGGATTCCCAAAAAAGTATTGCCTACCGTCCCACTAGGGATGGATTCGGGCCGGGTCGGGGCCGGGCCGGGCCTAGGCCCGGTCGGGCCGCCGGTTCAAGAAAAGTGGGCCCGGGACCGGCCCGAGGGTTGGACGGGTCCGGTTCGGGCCGGGCCACCCGTCCGGGTCATGGGTCGGGTCCGGTTCGGACCGGGTCGGTTATTTTTTTTTAATAATTTATATTTTATAGTTTATAGTTTTATACGAGTATTAAAAACAAACTTCAATTGCATTTATTTGAAATGAAATAGGAACTACATTTGAAAATTAAAACAAACTTTAAGAGATAAACATTTTGAAAATTGTAATCAATCGGAACTTCCCGCACCTCCCGATCCTTTGGCTTTGTCACATGACTTCATATGCTTGATTGCTATCCCGAATCCGCCTGAAGCCCCCATGATACATTTTTTTTCGCACCATTTGCAAATTGCGTACCACATCCCGGTCTTCGGGTCCTTCTGCTTATCAAAATTATACCGTATAATGGCATCTTGATTTTCCATCTTAACTTCTTGGAGAAGAGAATTAGAGAGTAGATATATAATATATTGGAGAATAAGAGAATTAGAGAGTAGAGAGTTAAGAATAGGATTTAGGAAGAATTGGAGAAGAGATATGAAAAAATGTTTAAGAGTAGGAGTATTTATAGGTTTTTTTACCCCCCACCCCCCCACCCCCACCCCCCCCCTACCAGCCAACCCCCCCGGACCCCCCCTTTACCCCACCCAACGGCTATATAGCCGTTTGGGTTGTCCCCAGCCCCACCCCCAAGCCTCAACGGCTAGTAGCCAAAAAACAAAAAAAAAGTTTTTTTTTTTAAAAATAGACCAGGACCCGGGCCCGACCCGGCTGGGCCGGGTCACAAAAATGCTGAACCGAGCCCGCCCCGCCCCTTCCCCCCGGTTCGGGCCCATACTCGGTCCCAGACCACCCGACCGGGCCGGTCCCGGGCCCGCACAGTACCGGGCCGGGCCGGGTCACGGGCCGGGTGGCCCGAACCGAATCCAACCCTACGTCCCACTAACAAAAAAGGATGACACTCCAACATCGGCGAACAATTAATTGGGGGATATACATTCCACTTCAACCACAAGTCGGTAGATAGCGAGTGAGACTCTGACACATCTACTTGCAAAGATCATATACATTTTTACATAGTAACCTTTATCGGAGTTGTCGGGATTCGAACTTGAGGCTTACCCCTTATGGCACTCCCCTATATACTGGCTAATGGTCATTGTTTTTTTTAAAGTAAACTGCTTATATTAAAATAAATTGCAACCAATAGAGTAAATCAGACTCAAACTGAAAACTCAAAATTCAAAGAACCTCTCGCCCCATGATCAAACATAGAATTAGTCACACTCAGATGAGTATATCAAATCGTAGACCATGTGAGAGCTTTGAAGACAAAGTCGGCTTTTAAAACCACAAAACTTCTGAATGGGGTGATAGACACCGTAACAATCCACCTAACATCTATGTTGCACAGAAACGCGAAAATCACGAGGAAACGGGAAACATTAACCGTTTGCTCAAAAAACCGTGCTACATAGCATAACATCCTCTGGCCCGAACCGTTAGCAAAAGCAAAATACTGAAATAAAAATAAGTATTAATTGGAATAATAAAAAAAACATAAAAAAAACCACCAAAGCTCTCCATCAACAGCCGCCATTCGTTTCCAACACTTGCTCACTCCACGCCACGAAACTAGATACCTTGACGAGACGGTTAGACCCGACCTGCCTCCATGCTTGCATGTTCATCACTTGACCCCTTAGCTTCCACACGTTTGCGCTTTTGATAAATAGAGTTATCCTTTTTGGTGCTCGTATCATCAAAGCCCGCTGCTCCTCACACCACCAAAATACCTCTCCCCCTGTATCATCCTCTCTGACCAGGGTTGAAACCATATCCATCCTCTCCCTGACCTGCCACTTGTTTCCTCCACCCACTTACCTATTTCCCCTGGTAGTTCTAAGTCATTGTCCATATGGTTTCTCTGCTCTTACAAAACCTCTATCCAATAACATAGGGCTAAATTTTTCTGCATGCCTAATTATTCCACATAGAAAATAAAAGCTAGACATTTTTTCATACCGAAAATTCACAATGAAACTGTCTCCATCCTCCTTTTTTAATTTCGATTTCTTCCCAAAGGTTTACCAACATCAAGAGTAACAGTAATTCTCACAAATGGATTCCAAGGTTCCCCAAAAGCACTTTCATCAACACAGATAAAAGAGCACAAACAATTCCCTATTTTAATAGGATTTGATGGAGTAAGATATCTTACAGGCAGATTAAGGACCTGGACCCAAAAATCAACCAAATAGAGAAGAACATTGGATGGAATATCTCCATACTTAAGCTTACATAGGATAATTAGATTTTGATCAAAGAATCATGGTTCATCATCCAAAACTCTATTCAAATCAACTTCATGGTAAAATTGAAACAAATATAGACGATATCCTAAATCAACTATGGGTTTCCATACAGTCGTAAACTCGCAATGGTTTTTGTAAAAACAAAAAACGTACTGACTTTTCAGAGGTAATGATACCAACAAGCGAGAGCCCTACCCCTTGACTAACATTGTCTGGTTCCGATTCCAGTAGTAGTTCATCTTCCTCTTCTTTCAATGACAACCGTTCAAACGCCTTGTCCAAGGAACTCACTATATATTGCGATGAAGGACATCTCGGCCAACGTCCCTACTGCCCTGAGTCGCTGCACCAACCAGCTACGGCTCTTGCGTAGAAATTCTCGTTGCCTTCTCTCTGCCCCTGGCTCCCTGCCTGCTCTTATCCGGCCGGCGGCTGAGAATCACGAAGGGAGCCGCCGAAATCTAACTCAAGCACGAAGAGAGGAGTTACACCTTCTATCGCTGGGTAAACCAAATGAAAACGAAAACAATGAAGACGGAATAATCAAAGAAACAAAGCAAAACCTTCTGCTATAAATAAATCCGCACGTATGGCAGCACTAAACCATACACCAGGCGTGTGCACGGATTCAAAACTGGACTTGATCGAATCAGAATCGGATTTGCAAAAAAATGGAAATTGAAAACCGGACGTGATATATTTTGGTTTTGATATGAAACCAAACCAGTTTAACCGTTTCAAACCCGGAACCAGACCGGAAGAACTTGTTTCTAAATTATTAATTTATTTTACTAAAAAATACAACTAATTTGTTTAATAAAAATGGGATACTAGTATTTGTTACTAATAATATTTCTATTAATGTTTTATATTAGTCTTAGAAAGCAAATTATCGTAAACAATGTTCAGTCATAGTTTCAATTTACTATTTCTATTGCTATTTTTCAGGGACCGGAAAAATTGGAACTGAACCATTCTGGAATGATACCCCGTCTGGTTTTGGGCTTTTAAATATTTTAAATACGTAATACGATTTGTGATCCTATTCCGGTTAAAAACCGGACTTTTTCGGTTTGACGGAAAGAGTATCTCTATTTCTATGAGAGAAATGCGTGATGTACACAAAATGTGTACACTTGTCTGTCCCCGCAGACAAGTTGTCTGTCTACAGACACTCTACAGAGTTGTCTGTGGACAGACAACTTATCTGCGGGGGACACACAATTGTACAAAAAAGTGTACATATTTTATGTACACCAAGCAAAATGATTTCTATGACGGAAGGATACCTCGATTTCTTTGTTAAAAAAGGATGACACCCCATCCCTGAGGGCCCCAACCTCGACCGGACGGTACATTGAGAGGGTGTAAATTGAACTATAATCTCACTATGACAGATAGAGAATGAGGCTCTGTCCCCGGTACTTGCAGAGGCCCTATGCATTTTTAGCATAGTAACCCCTCATCGCAGTTGCCGGGATTCGAACACGAGACCTAACCCTTGTGGCACTCCCTTGCTACCGGTTGAACTACGACCACCGGTGCCTCAATTTCTTTGTTTACTTTATTGGATGCTCACTTATTACATATGATAGTTTGCTCATATAATTGCCACAGCCTACAAGTCTTAATCTAAAAGTGTATATATTTGTATACATATATTCATATGGCCTCCCTTTTTTGTAATATTTTTATTTTGATAAGGGAAAGGGGCCAAAAATGACATCAAAGTTTCTATTGAAGTTCAGATTGGACACTAAGGTTTTAAGTAGACCAAATAAACATAAATTTAAAGTTTTTGGTTCGTTTTAGGCCACCCTTTTGACGGCTCTCCTTCCCCGTTATCACGTCTCTCCTTCTTACTTCTGATTACGAACTCCCGGTATATGCTATCCCAATACCGAATAACCTTTATTGAGGTGTGCAGACATAGGAAGAGGAAACAATAGTAATCCGTGATATTGCTTGGCCATCGATCTCATCTTAGGTATATTAATAAAATTGACAGGGTTTAGAGTCCCAACTTCCAGTCATCCTATTCTCAAAGAAATTCCTAAAGAATGACGGAAAGCTCAACGCTTGAAGACGAAGTGCAGTCTATTACAGCTCTAAGATTTCTTTTTAAGCTCACAAGTTTATCTCTCGTACATTTAAATCGACAATTTCTCCATATGAACGGGCCGTTTTCTTTTAAAAATATAATATGTCCCCTGCTGCCCAGAATTATTTGATTTGGAGCACCTACACTTACATCATGGCGGTTGCTTATGCACACAACACATCTCCTATGGAAGCTTTAGTAAGCACACAACACATCTCCTATGGAAGCTTTAGTAAGCTATACGTCCCCTGCTTCCTAGAATTATTAGATTTAGGTTTATGATTCTCAATTTCTCTTCGATGGGGGTGGTGAGAGCACATGGGGCATGGACGGATCCAAAATATGAAAATGAAATTTATTTCCAAAATCACCTAAATTTAAATGTATATTGTCATTTAATTTTTGTAGTGCAAGCACAACTACACAACTAATTATGTCTACAGATGGAACGTGCTAAACATCTATGCTCCCTCTTATAGCCAAGGTTGGATCGTTTCATTCTCTACCCATACATTGAGGGATTGTGTTGTTTAATCAGATGGAAAGGGTGTGGGTGTTAACGAGTTTAACGACCGGAGGGGTCTTTTAACGGAGAGTGAGTGAAATGGAACAACAAGGTTAAAATTTGTGTTTATTTGGTCTACTTTAAATCTTAATGTCTAATCTGAACTTCATTAAAAACCTCAGTGTCATTTTTTATCCTTTTCCCTTTTGATAAAGTATTAATAAATGCTCACGAATATTTTAATTTTGATGGTTTCCTAGTAAAATCTATGGAGTATAAACTAAAACTAGGATATGTTTGGCACAACTAGCTGAAAAGATACTTTTGTAAGCTTTTTAATAACTGTTAGCTTTTAGTGACTGAAAAAATCTTAAAAAGAAAAGGTGGTAGGTGTTTGGTAAAAAACTGACTGTTTCATTTAGTTCGGTTTGATATACAAGCTGTTAGGACTAATTAATACTAAAAGTCACGGACTTTTTTTGAAAAGCTCTTAAAAATTGTAATGCCAAACATAAAATTAGAAACTTTTAAAGATCTTTTGAACAGTACAAAAGCTAGAAGACATAGATTTATGCTTGACAAACATGGCCCTAGTAAAACAGTTCCCATAATAAATACAGAAAGTAAAATACAATATAGACACCAGCTAAAGAGGCATAACATTTCACTGGTCCAGCCAAGACAAAAACTACTTGGCCAGCCAGTTGGGGATCTTTCTAACAATACAAGTAACTATAAGGACTGACTCAACTATTATCACCCATGCCCTTGCTGCAAATTCAAAAAACATCATGCAGCAGGCCCCACACTTATACAATTAAGATTTACGCCTACTACTTCACTATTTTTTCTTGTACAAATAAAAAAACGAAAATTACAATATTTTTTATAGAGATTCCCAGTCGATCTCATGAGATGGATATTTATGCAGCTCCGAGCACATGTCCCACGTGGACTGTTCGTCCGTGAATTGCGGAAACGTTAGGTCCGATTGTGAAGACGACTCGCCCGACCCGGAATCAGAACCGTAACTTTCCGACACGGCGGCGTTGCTCTTCTCCTCCTCCTTCGGCGTCCTCGGCTTAGCCGGCTTCGATTTCCTCGAGTCAACGCTCTTGTTCTCAGCCAAGTTCTGACAGATGGCTTCCAGCTTGGCATCCACGTTGGACTGGAGCGGCCTGTACTCCCCGAAGTCTCCGCTGACGAGTGAGCCGTTGTGGTGGAGGTTCGGGAAGTTGAGCCGAGCCGAGTCGCCCCGGAGCTTGTACGCCGCGTTGTCGTAGGCGAGAGCCGCCTCCTCCGACGTGTCGAAGGTTCCGAGCCAGAGCCGGGTCCGGCTCTTGGGTAAACGGATCTCCGCAACCCACTTCCCCCAGTGGCGCTGCCGCACACCTCTGTACAGCTTTGTCGGCTTCGGCGGGGCGGTGGACAGCTTCATCGGAATAGGCTTCGGCGCCAGAAAGCTCAAGCTCGGCCCGTGGTGGACCCACTGGCTCTGGGCCGGGGAAGAGCCCATTATCTGTTGGGCGTGCAGGCCTATTTGATTCTGGATCTGATTGATTTGGATTGTGGTCAACGGATTAAGCCCAATAGAGCCCAGCTGCTCAACCTCGTAACCCGAATAACCAGATTCAATCATCCCGGTGGAGGTGGAGCAGCCGCCATTGGAGGAGCTCATATACGGGCTGTAAGGGTAAGTTGAAGAAGAAGAAGACAGAGAAGGTGATGGAGACGCGCTTCTCATAAAAGGTCCAAGCGCGTCCATGAGATCACCACCGCCATTAAAAGGCTCAGAAGAATTGAGATCTACGCCTACGCTATTCCACAGATCCATCGTAGCTGCCATATGTGTTCTAAACAAAATCAAGTTAAAAACAACAAATTCAAGTAAAAGAATCAAAAGAGGTCTTTCAAATAACAGCCTCCCTTTTCCTTTCCTTGATTAAAATTCAAAGATCAAACTTCCAGGGACAACAAATAAGCCCTCTTAGCAGATCTGGTGAATCTAATTCTGAATACAAAAAAAATGTTGAAAATTTTCAAAAACAGAGGATTAGCAGATTCAAGAAAAAACAGTTAAAAAGAGATTTTTGAATCGAAGAAAATATTTGATCGTGTAGGTGAAGTGTGTGCGAGTGTGAGGGAATATAACTCCGTGTATATATATCTCTCAGCCTCACTTTTGTGTTTTTGAGCTGCAAAGCAATGGTGAGTTTATATAGAATGTCTGAAGATGGGGTTTAGCTCTTGTTGATTAATTAATTAATTAATGGCTGTTTTCTTTTGTTTAATTTAATGAAAACAATATTTCACCTAATCTTTTTGGTCCCCTGTCAAACCCGTGGGCCATGACGTCATCTCTCTCCAAGCGGGAAACTAGCTGTATCAAACGGTGACGGCTGGAGATTTCTTGACACGTGCCAGTCATGTTACAGCCATGAGCCGGTCAGTTTGGCTTGTCATGCGCTTGTTCACACTGACTCCTCTTTTAGCCGTTTATTCTATTGTCATTTTCTCGTTACAATTAAATACTATCTCCGTTCCATAAAAGTTAGAATATTTTCACGTGACAACACACAACTTTGATTATAATTATATTTATTTATGTATCCGTAAATATTAAAAAAAGTTACTCTCTCAGTCCCAAATTGTAAGATACATTTACTATTCAATTAGTCAACATAAATCACTTTTAATCTTTTTTACTTTATATATCAAAAGGTTATGAAATTTGAATTATTTTTTGCAGGTTTTGTAGCGGTTTTAATGTAGTTTTTGAATATATAAATTTTATTTTCTAAAACTAATTTGAGTGTTTACAGGGATCAATTTGCTTTATCGTCGATCAAATATCGTAAACCGTAAATTATCTTACAAATTGGGACGGAGGGAGTAATATATTGGAAATTTACATTAATACAAATTTATTAATATTTTATACCTAATATTTTTATTATATATATTATTAGAAAATCATAGTCAAAGTAAGGTGTATGAATAATGTAGAAATTCCAATGTTACAACTTTTATTGAAGAGGAAATATTGTGCTACCATCCTCAAGAATTTTGTGATTTTGTCGATGTTTCTGACAGAGGAAGTTTTATTTGTTTAATTAATACAATAGTGTGTCCAGTAATTTTATACATTTATTCAATTTATTAAATCAATATCAATGTTAAAACTAATATGAATTTTTCAAGCCACTCGCTAGCTTCTTACTGTCATAAGTGTCGGGCTTTCATGCTTACGAGCAGGGGTGAACCCAGGAAAGTCATGATGGGGGTGAAAATATTTTTGAGGGGTTCAAACTACTTTTTGGCAGAGTAAAATTTATTTTTCGTATATATATACACTAAAAAAAGTTTCTGTTAGAGGGGGCGGTAACCCCCCTGGGTCTCTACTACGGTCCGCCCCTGCTTCCGAGCTTATTTAATTACAGATTCATGCCATTAAATCAATATATATATATATATATATATATATATATATATATATATATATATATATGAGAATGTTCAAATACAAAGAGGTCTTCCCATGCAAAGTGAGAATTAATCTCGTGCATTCATTTCCAGATCTAATGGCTCAAAATGAGCCAAAAATGAACTAAATTTGATCAAAAACGCGGTGGCACTTTCGTAATTAAAACGAAGTTTTTCGCCACCGCGAAAAAGTACAACAGAAACACGCAAAAGTGCAATGCGGTGAGGAAAAAGTGCAACCGTTCGCACTTTGCACGGGAGAACCTCTTTTTATTTGATCTCTTCCCTATATATATATAAACCTATATAGGGAGCGGTTCCGGTAAGAACGGATCTTAGGAGAGAAATGAGAACGAATCTGAACCGTTTGATTGAATTATGTGGAACTGAATTGTGCATTTGGTGAAACCGAAATGTGCATTAGATGATATTGAAATGTGCAGAATTAAAATTTAAACTCACATGTGCATTAGGTGAAACTGAAATGTGCAGAATATAAGGTACAAAAATAACATCGCATCGTATCTTTTGTTCTGCACATTTTAGTTTCATCTAGTGCACATTTCAAATTCACCTAATACACAATTTAGATTCACATAATGCCACTACATTGTACCATTTGTGCTGCACATTTCAATTTCACATAATACACATTACAACTTCATCTAATGCACATTGAATTTCACATAAAACAAATCTAACGGTCCAGATTCATTCTCATTTCTCATAAGATCATGTTCTTATTTGAACCAAAACATATATATATATATATATATATATATATATATATATATATATATATATATATATATATATATATATATAGGATAAGGATCAAATGAGAATACCATCTTAGGAGAGAAATGAGAACGATTCTGGAGCGTTGGATTTGAGTATTGTGCATCTTGTAAAACAGAAATGTGCATATAAAAAATCGGAAAATGTGCATTCCATCTGTGCAAAATTTTAAACGTAAATGTGCAAATTAGAATTTTGCATTACTTTAACAATAAATATACTGTTATGTAAGAGCATCTACGATGGCTAACTATATACTCCGTATATTGTGGCTATATATTCTCGCTAACACACTTCTCAACAATGTAACACGCCAACAGTTAGTTATAATAATGCCTGTTGAATATGCCCCACAGATCAATCAAGTTCGAAAGTATACATTTTTAATGAATTAATTTTAATAGAATAAAAATATCTTTTAAAAAATGTAGAATAAAAACAATATTTAGTTTGAAATACTTTTATATTGAGAAGATGTCAATGATATTTTTAAACGCATAAATAACAGCGTTGTTAAGTTAACAAAATAAGAATATTGAACAAGAGTACAAGAGTGAAATTGCGATCGTCTCCCTAATCCTTAGGGTTTGAGATGTGCGCATCAACGCGATCTGGCTTCTTCGGCAACCAGGTCTCGTGGTAGTATAGCTTTGCTCCTTGGATTCCGTTCTGTTTTTGTTTTGCAGGGTCCGTTTCCCTTTGGCTTCGTGGGTGTCACTGGAAGGCGCCGCAAAGTAGGAAGAGAAGGGGTTTGTTTTTGCCGCAGGTTTGCACCACATGTGTAACGAAGGCTTCAACGACTCGAATGAGGCTTTTGGCTAATGGCGGAGATGGAGGATATTGCTAGCAAATATAAGGAGATGGCCATTGAAGAAGAAGAGGACGAACTTTTGTTCGACGAGGAAACCAACGAGGAGGGGAACTCAGAAAGAAAAGAAATCTTCCTGGTGGTTGTTAATGTTGTGAAATTCTCGGTGTTCAGGGACCTCATGGCTTTAATATGGAGATCTGGAAAAGGAATATCCATCAAAGAGATTAGAGAAAAGAGGTATTTGTTTACTTTCTATCATGTTATTGATATGGAACGTGTTTTGGGTAGTGGTTCGTGGCTGTTTGAGTAGAATTTGGTGGAACTCGGTGCTATTAGGCCAGGTGATATCCCCTTGTAGGTTCCTCTTAATGAGGCTGAGTTCTGGGTGCAGGTACATAATGTACCTTATGACTTCATGAATATTGGGGTCAATGGAGAATTGGCAATTTTATTAGAAAATTTGTCAGTTTTGATGAAAGTCAGTTTGCACGAAAATGGAATTCTTATATGAGAATTATGATTTGCATGGAGGTGGGAAATCCACTAAAGAAGGGTACGTCTCTTAAGAAAAGTCTGGGAGTAGGGCACTCGGTCGACTTTAAGTATGAAAAATTGCCCAGGTTTTGCTTTGCATGTGGTATTATTGGCCATGCTTATAAGTATTGTTCCTTGATCTATGACCGTAAAAGCACGGAGCTAGAAAAACCCTTTGGGGTAGGATTACGAGCGGGCGGAGGGGGAAAACGCTCCCAGTGGGTGATAATAAGTGGCTGATACCAGAAGGTGCTGAAGGTGGACGGAGTGTGATTCAGAAAGGCAATGCTTATGGGCAAGTGAATGAGAATATTGGCAGGGTTTGGACGGGAAGGCAAAATTGGATTCTTATCGTGGCGGGAGGGAACAAGACATGTACCGAGGAGGGCGAAGCAACAACCATGGAGGATTCTGTTGGCGACCAAAAGCGCAGGAGGGTGTGGGAGGAGGACAAAGACGCGGATATTGGGGGTGACAATATGGCTCTCGACGATCCAAAAAACGGAGGGGCGGGTCTAGGCACTTCGACGCCGAGAGGTTTGAAGACGCTTCTGCTTAATGAAGTACGGGGGAAGCCCCTTGGGTTACTGATCAGGGTGCAACTGAATTTCCACTCTTATGTTTTTATGTTTGTTTTTTATTTCGATCAGACTGTGTTTATTTTTGTTGTTTATGTTTACTTTCGCCAAACTCTTGCATTAGGATTGGGCGACGAGGGGTCTCTTCTTACCGCGTTAGGCTCATTTAGACCCATTACAGGATCAGCGAATCATATTGCTTTTCACATGGTGATTGGTTCTAAGTCTGGTTCAAGGGTCGGCGGATGGAAGTGGACCTTTTATCTCTTTGTTCCCTTTCTGAATGCTGTGATATCAATTTATGCCGCCTTTTCTCAAAAAAAAAAAAGTTAAAAAATAAGAAATAAGAAATTAGTAGTATGAAATATTAGCAACATATAGATACTAAAAAATATCAACTATAACTTGATCCCTTGGTGATTTGAACTTGCCTCTATATATATAAAAAAATTATTTTTCTTTGAATCATTTTTATGGCCTTAATACTAAAAACAAAACATATTAACTATTTACGTATATTAATTTGAACAATTAGACTCCTTGTTTTCATTCTTTACATTTGATAGTCTATGAATTTACATCTTCTAATGCGCAAGTTACATCTTCTTATACGCAAGTTACATTTAGACTTGCCTTAACAAGTTATATTTTGCATACACCTAAGTTAGATTTTCCATCAACACGAGTTACATTTTCTATAACATGAGTTACATCACATAGCCCTGCTATTCAAACAAAAGAATCAGTTTTATGCAAAAAAATATTATTTTTGCAAAAAAAAAAGATTTCATAGGCAAAAAAGTGATTTAAAAAAAATATTTTTATGGTCTTGATATAAAAAATAGAACATATTCACTATTTAAGTAATCCCCTGCTATTGAAATAAACAAATCACTTGATTTTTTTTGGCGGATAAAAATGATTTTTTGGCAAAATAAATGATTTTAAGAAAAAAAATATTATTTATGGTCTGAATATTAAAAACAAAACATATTCACTATTTACGTAAAGTAATTAAGAAATTAGATTTCTTATTTTCATTGAAATCAATGTTTTATTTCTTATAAACCGTATTAGACAAGTTACATTTAGACTTGTCTGCAGTTACATTTTTTATCAGCGTGAGTTACATTTCCTTACACGCGAGTTACATCATTCATGATATAAGGACAAAAAGAAAACAAAAACAATTACTGTACACGTGTGTACTGTTCACGCGTGTACTTTTCACACGATTTTTTTTAAAAAAAATTGTGCAAAACTACGTCGTTTTGGGGTGGAGCATGATGTTCACCGTGGGATGATCCCATGGTATACGAACAGTTATTATTCGGTATGAAATCATATGATTTTATATTTCTACAATTAATAAATTAATGCCTAATTAATCTAAAGTAACTTTAAAGTTTATAAGATTCCCGAAGTCTTAACTGAATCAGTGAATCATACAGTATCATAGAAAACTGCAGCAAAGTCCATTGATTTCCTCCGTATAAATCCAATGCAATATTTCTATATTTCACTCCTAATTTATAGTTTTCAATGTCCAATGATGAGATGGAGTTAATTATGTAATATAATCATGTTTCTTTATAATTACATCAGTCCCGTTATAGTTATCTATTCTTGTACGGAGTATCATTTTCATATCCAAGTAATAATTGTGTGATACTTATTATTTTCTTTCCTGTATATAAATTTTAATAAAAAAGATTCTACTTTATTATTTCACTCCCTGGTCGAACTTATAAAAGATACTTAGTATAGGAGACGAAGATATCAAGTACCTTGTGATCTGGTGACATCACTGTAACACTCCTAAGGACAAAATCTGATGTTTGAATCTCATCTCAGTTCAAAGATGTTGACCTTAACATATAACATACGTTGTACACTATAATAGGTTAGAAAGCTTTTCCAAAAAAGAGAGATGAAGGTAATATTTTTAATCATGAATTTATCATTTTTTCTTTGTTTTTGCTCATGCAATATTGGATGTTAAGATCAAACGGTCCGCTTGATAACCTCTATAATTGACTTATCAGTCTTATGAATCAATTTTTATCCGAATTATGTGAGAATCAAAATAAGTAAGATTGAAGTTATTTTATTATTGACTCAATTTACCGAACTTATTCAAGAAAACTATTTTAGCTTATTTCATGAATTTTTTTAAAATTGAATTATGTAGTAGTGTATATATATATTTAATAAGGAGTATAAAATCAATCAAGTAAAATATACAATGCATTATAAACTCCCTCCGTTTCATAACGTTTTTCCCGTTTACCATTTTGGGATGCCGCAAAACAATCTTTTCGTTTTGCTTTTAGAAAAATTTAGTGTGTCTAACATTCGGTTACTTTTTATGCTCAACAACAATCATAGATTTCTACTATATTCTCACCTTTATAAACTCCGATCAAAGTCAAATCACAAATTTTTTTATGAAAAAGGATGGAATATTTAATTAAATATACTACATCCGTCCCAAAAAACTTTGTCATTTTCAAAACTTTGACTCAATATGTTATAAAATATAACACAATTATAAAATTTATAACTATATGTTTTCATTGAAAAGTATTTATAATATAAAAATTATATCAAAATGTTATTTGTTGAAAGTACATTCATAAAAGTTTAAAATTTATAACTTTCATAATACTATACTAATCAAAATCATGGTTCAACTTTTTTGAGGTGACAATTTTTTTTTGGAGGGAGATAGTATTACTTAAGTAAATACATATTAGCATATAATTTTTTTTAATTGAGTGATACAGCTAGAATTTCATCAATTTTAGTAAATTCTACTCACATAGTCAACGGGTCTAATTACGGAGCATTTGGTAGAATTTAACGACCATATATAGGGTATAACTTTTAACGGCTTCAATTAATTTGATTAAAATATACAAGTAGTATTGAAACCATAAAAGTAAGTGCGGTGCATAATGCAGCATAAAATATGCGATAAGATCGAAGGAATGGTGATTATAGTGTGCGGAAGCCGCTAATGGCAAATCCTAGCTTAGCTACTAGAATACGAATATGTCTTTCTTTCATTGATTGGGGTACATATCATCATTATAAATAAATAAATATCTTATCGCCTATAACAAAATATACTTAAGTAGATCGTTGAAAACATGGTTAGGCGTGCATGATTTAGTTCTAAAATGACTTTTATTTTATACACAAATGGCAAGTGATTAACAATAATTTATTCGGCAGTGACGACGACTTCACGCGGAAGAAGTTTATCGGTGACTTTTTTATCACTATAAAATATGGACTATTTTTCTTGCCTTGCCAATTACTTCTGTACTATTTAATAATAATTTATCAAGTTAATGGACAAAGCAAAATTCCTCAAATGATCACGTACAGTTACTTGGAATTATTAAGCCCCTTTGTTAGAGTAAAAGTCGTGTAATCAACGACTAATACTCACTAATTTATGTATCAACTTATTTTCTAGAACAAAGAAAATATGGTGCATATATCATGGTGTTGTTCCTACTCCCCCCCATCGAACAAAGAAAAATCATGTTTGATTGTACAAATTTCTTTATCAAAATTGAAACAATAGAATTAGTCATGATATGTAATCAAAGTCTCCGACTTTGGTTAATGGTTTTGAAATAAGGAACTAATCAAAGTCATCATACGTACCAATTAACTTTTAAAAAATAAACTATAAACGCCGAATATATGGGATCGTTTGGCAATATTGAAATCGCTTAAATCTGCTGAACCCCTTGAAATTAATGAATTTATTATGGTTGAATCAGCCGGATCTATTGATTTCTGAAAAAATAATATTTAAAATACATTTTATTAATAAAACTAACAAGATACACGTAAATAACTAAAATTACTGATTTATGAAAAATAATATTTAAAATATATTTTATTAATAAAACTAACAAGATACATGTAAATAACTAGAATCATCCATTACAGTAACTCCAACTAATTCATCAGTGAGAAAAATAATTAAAGCCTTACTTAGTTTGATTATCACACTATTCAACGCGTGAAATAAAAATTTGTGTGTTTTGTAAAATGTTGGCTGATGAAATTAATAAGTTGAAAAAATTGCCCTAAGTAGGAGTACAATTTTTTTTTTTAAATTTCAAATAGTATTGCCATGTTTTTATTCAAAAAAAAAAGAAATTATTATCGCCGTGTTTAGACATTATTATACTTTAAATATGACACTATTTTTGTAATTTGACAGTAATTATTCCTATTTATGGAATGAAAGCATGACAAAACCTATATTTTAGAATTCCAAAACATTTACTTCTATTACATTTTCTCGTAAGTTGAAAATAAGAGTCACCAAGCAGACTCCATATAATATACTCCTCTAACTCCCTAAAATTGCCACATCCTTTCTTTTTTGCCCGATCCGCTGAGATTTTCTCATATCAAATTGGTAAAATTTGTATGAATATAAACCATTTTTATTTTATTCTTATTTTATCAATTTATTAGAACCACATAAACTCATTTTTGTTAATAAGCGCATAATATATTAATGTCTCAATAATAGCGGGATGGAAATACTCCCCCAGTCCCGAAAAGGATTGCCAAATTGAATTTTCTTGGTCAATGAAAATCAACTTTGACTAAGGATATTTCTCAATACGAAATTACTTAGAATATGAAAATTATATCAAAATGTTCCTCATTCAAAATATTTTCATAAAAGTATAAAAATTATAAATTATATACAAATATAATAATTAAAATCATTATCTAAAGTTTGTCATCTTTAACAAAAAAAAGTCAATATAACGAACCTTTTCGGGACGAAGATAGTAATTATATGGATTTTGCTCCTCTCCATTAACTGGAATGATCCAGTCAGTAGGAGAGAGATAGAGAGAGGTGGGGAAATGGTGGGGTAGAGAAAAAGAAAATATTATGTTTAATTATTATTTTTAAGGAGAGAGATAAAGTGAAAAAGAAATGGAGAGAGTAAATGGAGAGAAGGAAATGAAGAGAAGTATGACTCTTAATATATATTCCAAAACATCTTTCATGCATTACAATAAAAGTCTTTATTTGAGACAAAATTAGAAAGATCTTATGGAGGCAAGGAAATCCTATTAACCCATCAAGCTTGTGACACACATGTATTGTGGTAGAGGTGGTGAGTGATTGGACGGACTTGGTCCAACGCCACGTTTTACGCGTTTAACGAAATAGAATAACATGAGAGGTTTAAGCCGTGTACTCACCTTTTTCGGTACTATGTATCATATCAGATTTGAACTTTTGAAGTGAGTGAACTATATTTGAAATGACACATTTGAACATATTGAGTAGTAAAATAAAATGACAATTATCACTTGTACATGATTACCACACGCAACCTTATACTCCCTAGTCCCTCCCTTATAATTTTGCCAACTTTCCTTTTTTGGTTGTTCCAAAAACTTTACCATTTTCCCTTTTAATCAATCAATTTGTGACTCCTGTTATTTCTCTCCCCTCTGCACAAATATCTACCACACAGTTTTTACTTTATTATTCTACGTGTCGGTCAAACTTGGCAAACCTTTAAGGGACGGAGGGAGTAGTACCTAGTATTTTAATTATAATTATATGTACGTGTACACATAATTGATTTTAATTTGCTGGTATGCTCTAGTCTGGTCTGGTCTGTTTTACTCTGGTATGGCCTGGTCTGATTTGAAATTTTATTTTTTATATTTTTTTGCATAAAGATTTTATTTTTATACTACGTATATATATTATAATCCATAAATAATTAAATTTTATTCATTTATAATTAAAAATAATAATATTTCTTCCCAATTATCGAAAATTGTTATCGTTTTAATTGTATTGATTTCAATCTCAGACCAAAGCAGATCATACAAATACAGAACAATAATAAAATAGTACAAGTATTAATAACAACAACAATAACAATCAGGGGCGGATCTACATAGACATTAGGAGGGGGGGGGGGGGGCAGCTGCCCCCAATAACAGTTCAATAGTGCCTCATAGATTATTAGGATAAAGACTTAGTTTATACATTTGCCCCCGATTAAAAAATTGAATTGCCCCCAATAGGTGAAGAATCTAGCGGCTCAACCCAATTATAAAGTAAATAATTCGGATTTTCAATTTTTATCATAGATTGAAGGTAAACTAGACGTACATGATTGAAATAGATTTTTTAAATTACTAAACAAGTAAAAATAGGTTGAGTTCCAAGAAGTTAAAACAATTAAAATGAATTAGCCTTTACCGAGAAGCGCAGGACCGCGACTCGGCGAGAACAAAAGAAGATATTAAATCAAATGCCTAGTTAGGATGTTTTTACTTGGACTGTAATTTGCTGGTCTGGTCTGGTCTGGTCTGGTCTGGTCTGGTCTGAACTGGTCTGGTCTGGTTTCTTTGTATTTTTATAACTATCCAAGTCTGGTCTGGTCTGAACTGGTCTGGTCTGGTCTGAACTGATCTGGTTTGGTCTGGTCTGATCTGGTCTGGTCTGGTCTGGGACGAATTACAGTCCAAGTAAAAACATCCTTATAAAAAATTGAAGAGTTCAAAAGTGCAGGTTTCTAGTTTGAACTTATTTTACCAAGTATATCTTACTAATCACTAATGTAATTATCACTAAAAATCACCAAAATGACCAAAATTAGTGGGGGTAAATGTCAAGGAACGTTTACCAGTGTTTTACTAAAAAATAGTACTACGTATTTTATTAGAATGTTGTTTACATTGATAATGTGCTAGCGCATCAAGGGATTGATAATCTTTAGTTCTTTAGACAAAACAAACCTTTCACATCTTTTGGTATATACACTTTCGTACAGTTTATTTTGGATTTGCTTGTTACCAGGCAAGGTTTGAAATATGCTTTTCTGATATGAAAATAGTGAAAATGAACTTGCATTAGATAAACGGTGATCAATTTTTGAGTGATTGTTTAGTTTCTTTTATATAATTTTTTTTACTTGAAACGATTACAAATGAAATTATACAAGATCACTTTCAAAAGATGAAAATGAAAGAGAGTAGTTGGATCTTGCCCCCAACACCCGGTATTTCTGGATCCACCACTGATAACAATACTATTACTAGTGCTAATAATAGTAGTAGTAGTAATAATAATAGTAATAATAGTAATAGTAGTAATAGTACTAATAATATTTGATTATAATAACAACAACAATAATAATAATAATAATAATTACAACAATAATAATATTAACGTTTATGGCTCTAACTTTATTAACGTTTTCATTTCATTTAGGAAAAGGTTCACCCATTTTCATGTCTTTTCGCCATCTTCCTTTTATGCCCATTCAAGACCATTTACTCTTAGAACATGTTTGTGGCTTGAACTTTGTTTTCTTTCCTTCTTAATTAGTTAATTTTGTCCAAAATTGTCTCTTTGAGAAATTTATTCCCCATATCCCCATAGACATTGAATATATATTTCCCTTAAACATTTCTTTACTTTTCATTGTATACTACTCCGTTCTTAAATAAATGCAACACTTTGACTTTTACACTATTCACATGTTCTACTTTGACTACATTTTATTTATTAATGTAATAATATTATTTTATGAAAAAAATATTGTTAAATTTGTCTCATTGTAAATTTTCATAATCTATTTTTTTTATTTTTTTTACTAATACAAAATCATTTATATTAATGGTCAAAGTTGTGTCTCGGCAAGTGTGAAATGTTGACCGTTAAATTTATTTAAGAACGGAGGAAGTATTATATTTTTGTTAGAAGTGAGATTATGATGACCCTTGTCTCTATAATGAGAAAATGATAATGGTCGCGTGCCAAATCTTAATGAGTCAGAATCTTTACACAAAATTACCATCAACAAAGAAATCAGTACTTACTTTCGACCTTCCTTCTCAAGTTAACTTTTGTCATTGTGATGTGATCTTTAACCCTTATTACTTACAATTGCCTACATATACCTTTTATAGCCAAATATTATTTGAATTACTCCCTCCGGTTCCTATTAAAGTTCTCACTTTCCTTTTTGGGATGTCCCTTATTTAAGTTCACACTTCCATTGTAGGAAATAAAACAGTGCCAAACAGTGTCCAAACAGTGTCAAACAATGTTCAAACAGTGCCAAACAGTGCACTCCACAGTAAAGTCAAATTTATTTTCTTAATCTGTGTGAAGTCAAACAAAAAACTTTAATAGGAACCGGAGGGAGTATATATTGAGAGAATTCCACTAAAAAAGTTTTAAAATTCCAAAATAGGAGTATCATGTTTTTTATTCCTTGAATATGAGTAAATTTCTGCCAAGTTTGACATTACTAGGCTTTAAAACATGACATTTTTTTCCAAAGTTGGCAGATTACTCTTATTCAGGGAATAAAAAACACGATACTCATATTTTGGAATTTCAAAACGTTTTTGCTCCTATTTAGAGCCATTTCTATTATATATTAACACACAGAAATAAATTACAAAAAATACTTTCGTTTGTTACATTTTCAAGTAACATAAATATTAACAATTAACAGTCAAAGGTAACAATTTTCAACTCCAAAAATTAAAATGAAAACAACTTGGGGGGAAATAATGCATAGTACGGAGTATATTATTCGAACCCTGAAGCCGAAATACCCAAAAGCCAAAATACACTAGAAATACTATGATCATTGACCAATAAAGACGGAATGATAGATCATTCTCCATGGGTAAATATAGGGGCGAAGACAAGAGTAAAAGTTGAACTAGACCGGTACAAAGGAATTTTACAAATACATTTTTATTAATAAATTTTTATATTAAAATATAATCAATTTTAAAATTTAGTCTGAGTCAGGGCCCGATTGACCACCCTCCACCTCCGCCCTGGGTAATTAAAAGAATTAGAGAAAGTTAACCTAGATTAATCACAATTGAGATGCAGGATCATGAATAGCCGAATTAGGATTGTGGGGATCGGGATTATCATGATTGGGACATGAACTTCCGGTCAGTAATTTTTTGATTTGATTTAGTGTAACCTAGATTACTTTGCTAGATTACTAGATTAACCTAGATAACTTGCCTTTTTTTAAAGAATAAAACCATATTTATTAGCAGTGTTGCCTTTGGAGTTATGTAGGGAAATTGAAGTTCTCATGAATGGTTATTGGTGGAATGGTAAGTCCGAGAAAGGGGTCAGCTGGACTAGCTGGGAACTTTTATGCCAACCAAAAAATTGCGGGGGGTTGGGGTTCCGGAGGTTAAGGGAGTTTAATCTCTCGATCTTCGCAAAACAAGCTTGGCGTATTTTTACTGAACCAAATACATTAGCTGCGAGGGTGTTCAAAGCTCGTTATTTTCCAAGAGGAAATTTCTTAAATGCCAAGTTGGGTGGGAGCCCCTCTTTTATCTGGAGGAGTCTCTTTGAGACTCAGTCGGTGATTAAGGCGAGATATAAATGGAGGATTGGGGACGGTAAGTCTATAAATATATGGGAGGGACCATGGCTGCCCGATGATGCTAATCCCAGGGTGTCAACACCTCAAGTTCCGGGCCTGGATTGTGCTACGGTGGATGGTCTTTTGGTAGAAAATGGGGGGGGAGTGGGATGTTGATATTTTGTATGATTTATTCAATTGCAGGTTCATGAGGCTAATTCAAAGCACTATGCTTAGCTTGCGGAAGGTGCCTGATAGAATAACTTGGAGTGGAGAGACTGGTGGCCATTTTTCAGTTTGAAGCTGTTATCGGAAGCTCGTTGGTGAGAAGGTTGCGGAAGGATGGTCTGGGTGGACACAAATGTGGAAGTGGAAGCTTCCTCCAAAGATTAAAACCTTTTTCTGGCAATTATGTGTTGGCTGCCTACCAACTCGAGATGCTTTGCAGCAGAGAAGGGTTCCTTGCCCGGAGATATGCGGTCTTTCTGAAGCGACTGAAGAATCATCCCTGCATCTGTTTGCTGGCTGTCAGTTGGCTCTGGAGGTGGGCCGGTTACTGGGATGGAAGGTGTTTACTAACCTGCCAGGCAGCTTTAGTGAATGGTTAGAAGCAAATTTTCAGTTGAGAAAGGATGACGATTTGAAGATTTTTAGTTTGGGGTTGCTGGGGTATTTGGTGTGCGAGGAACAAACGGGTGTGGCGGGGGGTTCAGACTGAGGCTTCACAGATTGTTGCCCAGACTAAAGCTTTTATCGAGGGATGGTCTAAGGCTCAACAGAGTGGAGGTTCGCGGGTGGAGCTCGTTTCAGCTCGGAGTTCATTCTGGCAACGTCCATCTATTGGAAGAATAAAGTTAAATGTCGATGCTTCAGTTTCATCTTCTGCTATTGGTCTTGGATGGGTTGTGCGAGATTATATGGGGGAGTTCTTGGCGGCAGGTGCATGGCCACGACTGGGGAAGGTGTTCTCCAGTTGAAGCTGAATTAATGGGCATTAGGGAGGCACTAAGCTGGCTTAAGGAGCAAAATTGGGACTTCGTAGATGTTGAGTCTGATTCTTTGCAGGCTATTTCAGAGATTCGCAAGCAGGATAGTTGTTTGATTTTGGGGTTATTAGCGGAAGATATCAAATTTCTTAGTAGGCATTTTACTAGCATTACCTACACCCATGTTAGGCGTTCTGCGAACACATTTGGTCATGTGTTAGCTAGGGTGGCATGTTCTTTGTCTGATCGCCGGTTTTGGTTTTTTTTCTTCACCGGATTGTATTACTCATGTACTCCATCATGATTTAATTAATGCTAGTTAATTTGGTTTGGTTAAAAAAAACCATATTTATTGATAATGAAAGTAACAAAAGGTAAAACATTAGAATAACTTAAGGCCAAACTGGGATGAAACATACGACCAATTAGCCCCCAAAGACCAATTGTATTCCCTAACGTCGCAACGATGTAAACTAATCTAATAGCACTGTTGAACTTGATACTAAAATGGGAAACCAGTAATTCTTTAAATAAAAGCAACAAAATAATTCAAGCATCCTGATTTTACCAGCCATCAGGAAGGGAGAAGATGTTTTTCCATCCACCTCAAAAGAAAGCATCCCGGTTTTACCAATCACCGAGAACAGAGAAGAGACTTGACCAGCCATTTCCAAAGGAATCATCTCGTTTACAGGATCTGTCAGTATGTTAGGCGGTGCTGTTCTGGAAGCACCGCCGTCTTGTTGTTTTTTATCCCTCGCTATCAACCTCCTCGATTGACATCCTTTCATAAGCCTTATTTAAGCTCTCCATTAATGGTCAACAAAATAAGCGCCTAATCTGAGACAAAGAAGAAGCAGCGGAACTCACGATCAAAAGCCCAAACATGTTCACAATTGAAACAGACCAAACCCCCGACCAAAGAAAACTCAACCAGACGAAATTCTCGTCAACACGGAATTGCCAAACAACCACCTCAACCAAAGCACCAACAGAGAAATAATGAAATAAAACAACGGAATAGAGGGGGAAAAGCAGACCTGCCTTCCCAGCGAAGCCAAGAGACAATAACTACGTCTTCTTCACCACTGCATGCCTGGCTACCCGATCACCGCCATCCAGCTTTTTGCCCATCACTTCATAGTACTCCTAGGGTTTGATGCGGCTCAGAATTTAGGTATTGTAGTACTTTTATTCCATGCCCTTAGATTACTTGCCTTTCTAATCAATTAATTTGGGAATTTACTTATTTCTCCGAATGGACTACGTACATCCAATCCCCTTACCCCACCGTATGTAAAGCCTTTGCATGATGATGACTTATTTCTCTTTTTTAAACAAGTTATAAACACACATTATTTCTTTCAAGCTTTATTTTTTGCTATGTTGTATTTTTTGTTTAAATAATACTTACTTACATGTTTTGGGTGAGTTGTGAGAACATTGATTATTTTGTTATCGTGGGAGGAAGTATTGCTCAGTTTAGAGTTGACTTATTTAACTTGGTCAAAGATTGAGGGAATCATGGAAGCCTATACAACGATGGCATTTTGGTAATTTAATTGAAATTCTTGTCTTCTGCTAAATGAGCATTAATGCGCTTTTAGTGAGTATCAGACACATTCTGCTGAGTATTAGAAGCCTAACAATGAGCATCATAATCTCTGCGACATATTTTCTAATTCACATTCTTTTTCTTATTTTTTCTTTTATAAAAACTTATTAGATTTATCTATAATCAACTCTTTTGAACTTCAATATGCGAATCTAGTATAATATGATACTTTTGAAATATGCATTGATATGACATTCTAAAATGAGCATAACATCAGCACCAATTGAGCATACGTAACTTACAAAATGAACATTGATATGAAAGTCATAAGTTTTTTAGTTGAGCATCAAGACATTTTCATTGAGTATCAAACATTCTCTATTGAGTATTAGAAACATGGTTTCTGCTCCCGTATATGTAATCAACTCCAACTTGAATCTAATGTAATATGATACTTTGAAATATGCATTGATATAACATTTTAAAATGAGCATAACATCAATACCACATGAGCATACATTACTTACCAAATGAGCAATAACATGAAAATCATAAGCTTTGTTTGTTGAGCATCAAGACATTTTCATTGAATATCAAACCTTTTCTATTGAGTATCCGAACATGCAATTGAGTATCAAGATCTCTACTTCCATGTATATAATATAACCCTTATGCAAATCTAATATGTTACTTTTGAAATATGCATTGATACGACATTTTAAAATGAGCATAAAAGTAGTACCAGATGAACATATGTAACTTAAAAAATGAGCTTCGAAAAATTCAAAGGCTCGTTTAACTTCTCTAATGTGCTCAAATGTTCTTTGTGCACATATAATGACAAATATAGTAATGAAAAATTTAGTAATTTTATATTAAAAATAACTTATAGTCTTTCATTCTCGAATTACAAATATAAGCAGCTTCTTTTATAATGTTTACTCATGCAAATTTATTTCACTATACACAACCAACTTAGTATAACACAAAACTAATGTTACTAATTAACACACAATATTTAATAAACTAATAAATGTTCATCTTAAATAAAAAATAAAAAATAATAATTAATACCTAAAATATAATAATGTTTTGTATAATTTTTTATATCATAATGTTTTATAATAATTGAATATAAAACTAAAATGATAGGTTGTTAAAGAAAAAACCACAAAAAGAAACGAAACAAACCATTAAAAAAGGGAAACAAACAATAAAGAAAAAAGAATATAAAAAGAAACGAAAACAAGCAATTAGAACGATCAAGCGTAGGGAGACCGAGGATGCATGTGAGTGGCGAAAAAAATGGAGGGTGAAACAGAGTAACTCAACCTAACTAATAACATGAAAGTTGAATCAAATTACAAAAATGTTGGTTGTACTATGCCCTTGGTACAACCAGTTGTACCATATAATTTACCGGGAACCATTTAATTATGTGGTGAGGTTTTCAAATCGTTTAGCTTTTTGCCTTTTTCCTTTAATATTTCGACACATATTCCATACTCTCTCCGTATTTAAAAGTTTGTTACACTTTCCTATTTGAAATGTATTTAAAAACTTGCTACATTTTCTTTTCTTTTTTTGATAAATTTCCCTCTAAAAATACTCAATTAACCTTACTTTTTCTACTTTTAATTTTCTCTTTCCTACTTTTTTCATCTTGTTTTCTACATTTTATACACTATTTATTACAACTACTATTTCTACTTTAAATATTTAAATATTATTCCAAGATCTAATGCAGTGATTTTTAAACAGGGAGAAAATATTAAGTGCTCATATGGAGGAATAATAATCACTATCACACGAAGCACTATAGTGCAATGTCAGTTTGGCAATGTGAAACCAAGGAGATGGGGATGGGGCCGTAAGAGCAAGTAATTGATGGAATAAATAGAGTGGTTGCTGGGTGGGAACAACTTGTAAAGAAGTGTAGGAGTGGACAATGACTTGGTCAAATCCCGATTTATACGCGACAAGGTGGCCCACACAACGTAAATTCTAAAGCAATCTTTCATGTGCAGATGTGATTTTAGCCTTTCTACAAAAAAATTAAGCTAACTTTCTGAGTGAAGCATGCTTTGTGCTGTGTTCATTTTAGGAATGTCATTTTGGGATTTGCATTTTAAAAAGAAGGGGGTTGTCAAGAAACATGGCCGATTCAATCATGTCAACATTGTATTTGATATTTACGTCTCCAATGCATCCCATGTAGTGCTGATGCGTCAAAAATCAATATTAACAGTGTTACCACGATTGTTTTGGAATTACAGTGCCCATAAAAAATCTCAGTATATTTTGACGGAGAAGTACACAACGAAAAATCTGGGAAATTCTCTTGCCCATAAAAAATCTATCCGCCAAACCAAATCACCCACGTACGGCATCAACTTGCACCAAGTAGTGGGATTCTTTTAGAAATCATCAATAGCTCACAAATCTATAATTTATGTGTAGTAGAACGAAGGTCATAAGTTTTTATCTTTAAAAAATTTAATATTTCATATAGGTTTTAACAAATTTGTAAACTCATCGTCAAGAACTTGGAAGCAGAAGTTAGCAGCCATCGGAAGGGTTTTCACTTGCAGGAGGATTTCTTCTGCTGATTTTTATTTATTTTCTAAACAAAATGCTTATTACACGTAAGCATTATTATGGCTGTGAACAATATGCATTGGATCATATTTTTGTATTTCACGTTTGATTACATGACGCTTATATGACATGGAAGACTATTCCAATTATTGATTGCCATTTGAAAAAAAAAAGCTCCATGTTAACAATGTAGCATTAAAGATGCTCTAAGCACCTCATTAAACCTCTCACATAGATGGAGTTAAATTGGCAAGACCTTCTCTTAAAACAAGTCCATCGGACTATTAGCCATTGGCTTGAAATTTGCAGCATACGGTCAACAATTCACCACACTTTAAGGAGCGAAATGGACATTTCACATTTTCACTTTTAGGTTAGAATGTTAGATCAGTTTGAAAACGATTGCAACCTGTGGGATATTTTACCGAATTAACACACTAAATTTCATTCGGTGGGACCTTTTTAATCAGAAGGGTTACAAAATTCCTCCTAGTTGTAACTTTTATTTCTTTCTTTTATTAAGAAGTTTTTTATTTTCCATTTAGTTCTTTTGTTCATTCAAAGTGATTAATAATATTTGAGACCATCATGGAAGCTGAACCATCACATTATTAGTACTACTTTGCTATATACCTTGATCTATATTTGTTGATTCACTCATCCGATCTAACCTCTGAGAAAAACAGCATTAGTCTGTGTCTTCTTTTTTACACATGCTAGCAAAGCTGAGATATCGAAATACAGAGTCAAAAAGTTAAGAACACGTGGAAGGGATTTCAGAAGTAGTCGACATAGTGATTATAATGCCTGCGGTTGAACTCCAACAAGCTTCCATATGTTCTGTCTGCAATTCCAATGAACAGAGCTTGAGTATCAGGGCTGAATGATACTCCGGCAATTTCACTGAACAAATCAATCTCCTGACAGGAGACATAGTCGGAATCGGTAAGGAAAACATGCACGAAATCGGCTGGTTCACCGATGGCCAAGAATTGGCCATCTGAACTGAACTGGATTGTACGGATTGCACCGATCCTTCCTTTTAGTACAGCAAAAGAGCGTGACAAGTTCCTGATGTCCCACAATCTACAGGTTGTGTCCTGGTTCCCAGTTGCTACAACTTGTCCATTCGGGTGCCAAGCAGAAGAAAAAGAATAGTCTAGGTGACCTTTAAGGTTGCCCACGACCTGTAAAGTGGTAATATTAGTAAATGTTACCCCAAAATCAATCGGCACCTTAAAAAAGCAAGCAATGTCACACAGAGGCAGTCAACTATCTTTTTACACACAATTACAGGAAAAGATGGTTAAGTTAATTGGAGCAATTGGTTTGATATGCATTTCTCATTTTACTCTTTGTTAAGTTAGCAATTTCATACAGTATATGATTAGTACTTGGTTTTTAATAGGGATGATTAGGTAATGGTGAACTGGTAAATGAAAAATTAATGCTTTGTCTGTTAGAGGGAAATTGAGAGGAAAGGAGGAAGGAGAGAAAGCCAGGAAGGAAGGATCTTTCTATTGGGAGAGACGCTGGGTAGAGAAATAAAAATATGAGGGGCTTCCTTAAACAGGAGGAGAGGAAAAAGAGGAGTTTTCTATTGTTCTCTATAACTGTGTTTCATTTTTTTTAATTTATTAATACTTCGTATAAGGTTAATTTTTTTTTATAACTAACTCAGATTTCTTCCTCTCATCTTTCTATTGTGTCTCTCTTATGTTGAACAGAGGAAGTACTAACCTTTCCTGATTGAGAATCAGCGATTAGACATTCTGGATTGTCCCCAACAACAGTGATCATTTTACCATCTGGACTGGCAGAGATATTCTACCCGAAGATATGAACATGGAAATTAATTCATATTCTAATGTGTTGAGTGCAATGAAAAAGTAAACAAAAAAAATATACTCACATTCACAGACCAAGGGAATGTGAAACAGTTTAGATCAACAAAGCTTTGGGCATCAAGCACTCTAACTTGCGCATCATTATTTGCAGCCATAAGCTTCAATGAGCCACTGAAAATGAAAACATTAGTCTGTGACATCCCTCTTCATTAGAATCTTCTTTATTTAAAAAAAAAAGTCTAGTTTACTCTTAACTGGGTTTTCATTTTGAACTTACTTTGGTGCATGAAAAATGTCCACTGTGTTAGTTGTAGCATTCCGGCCAGTTGTTAATTTGGTGCAAAAGGCAATCCCCGGTTTGTTCAAGTGCTGCAAAAAGCAGAATAACCAACAAATTATCACAAAGAGTAGGGCAAACTTCCAATATCCCCCTTTGAGTGTGATGTTTAATCTTCATACCTTGCAGACTAGTTCTCCTTGTAGACCACCTGCTACCATTAGATTGTCTTTAACAGCAACTGCGCATATCTGCACTCTAGAAAGTGTCTGGCCAATCGATCCAGGGTATTTCTGTACACGGAAATTAAATTGTCATTGCCTAAAGGCTTAAGACACTACAAGTTCACTTTAAGAGCAAAAATGAATAATCCCTCTCCATTCTTTAAGAAAGTGGTCATACATTTCTCAAGGCGTTGATAAAATTTTCATAAAATTGCAAAACATACCACTATTGATTCATAAATATTAGAACCAAAGAAAAATGAATATAAATATGATAGGACATGGTTAGCCATGTTAATACGTCTTATTTTGTTAACAACATGAGTTTTTTCCGACTTATATAGTCCTTCAACTACTGTGTTACCGTATCAGTGACAGTTTTTGTATTAATCTTTGAATTGTTCCACTTTTAATGGTTCAACTGTTGTGCAAGAAACCATTTTCATATGTTCTTGAATTTTTTATCTTTTATTCTTTTGACTATTGTGAAAGTGTCATAATAGGTGGATGAACAAAAGTGTCTCTGTTGGATGCCAAAAGTGTCACTGTCATTACAGTCCATAGACCAAAAGTAGTTAGTGAATGGAATCTTTTTATAGGGCATATGAGAGTAATTTTCTACTTACCATTGTTGGCTCAAGTGGTCTAGCCATGTTAACAACTTCCTTTTGTCTTCTGAGAAGAGAAGACCAGTGCATGAAAGAGTTGTTTCGCATGAAATAGACATCATGCTTGGATGTCGACCACAAGAGACTCCTTAGCTAAAACCAAAGAACCCACCTTGTCAATAACAGCTGGAAAATATCAAAAAGATTGTTCGGTAAAAATGAAGCAACATGTATTAGCACCTAGTGAATCATGAGGAAAATTTGAGTCGGTATAACTAAAAGATACAAATAATATACTTGACGTCTCCTATTCATATATAGGAACAAATATTGGACACTTTGGGCACATACAGATGTGTATGGTGCATAGAAGAGATCTTACACAGAGGACCATCTTCAGTTAGATTGAGCAGGGATCTTCTAATCAAGATAATAGAAAATTGACATGGCAACCTAGAACTTACAGCCAGGAGAGAAACTGGATGTATACGGGAATAGTTTTAGAAGGAAACAGTACTTCAAACTAGAGAGATGAAAATGCAGGAGAATAGTTTTAGAAGGAAACAGTACTTCAAAAAAATTATCCATGCAATCTTAAGAAAACATGATGTTTCATCAAAATGCAACCAACTATGTATCATCCATTAATCCAGCACATGTAAAAGAAAAATAACAGTTCTGAGCTAGGCTGGCAAGTGGCAACAGCCTGAAGAGGTCTTCAAGCTCTCATATGTTCTCCATCATACCATATGTAAAAAGTGCCTTAATGTGCCAGCAACGCTGCCCAGATATTAACTTCCATCATGATTCTAAAGCTGAAATATATACGACATAATAATCTGACAAGATATATTGGTTAATTATTGAAAAACAATACTCGTACACAAAATTGAAACCCAGCCCATTCCAGGTCACATTAAGCTCAGTTTTTCCTTCACAATAAGAAACATGGGTCATGAGATGAGGGAAAAATAGCATGCAGCACAACTAATGCAAGATAATGCATAACGGCTTAAAGGCTCAGTCCCACAAAAAGTACAGAATATTATATAGAACCCCAGCAATCTAGCTTCTTAGAAAACTATATATACCAATAATTATGAGCTCCAACAATTGATGTAGGCCAGTTTTCTGTCCTGCCATCACCTTGAAAACAGTATAGCTGACAATTTCTAGAGTATTCTCTAAAGAGGCATTATGGAGTATGGACCAATCGAAAATAGTCTGCGCAGATTTAATGTTTGGGAAAAGGTACAAATATATCCTATGTTCTATTTTTCGGAACAAATATACCCATGAAGTATATGTAGAAGTGCATATATACCTTTGGAATTTTAAAAGGTGCAAAAATACCCCTCATATTCTTATAAAAGAGCAAATTTACCATTGACTTTAAATTGATAAAATTAATTTCAAAAAATACCAAAAATAAATTATAAATTCGAAATTAAAAAATTAAAAATTTTAAAAATGTACTTGTGTCCAATTCTCCCATTTATTGTTTGCATATCACAATTTAATATTGTTAGTATAAAATATTATTTCAAAACTTTACCATATAAATGTAAACAAAACTATTTTGTAAAACATTTTAATATATAAACTTTACAATTTAATATTGTAAAACATTACTTTACTATCGCAATGTAAAAAAAATATTAATTTTTTTTGCATTCTTTGCACTATAAAAATTACATATTTTGTATGATGATAAATAGTCCAAGATTACAAAATAGTGAATTTAATTTTATTAAGGTTAAACAAAATCAAAGAATGTAACAATGTGTTCAAAACTTCGCAACAAGACTAAAATTGAAATTAATGAATTTGAAGTGCTTCATTTACAACGGATAAGTATTAATTTTGAAATTTAAAAATAAAGAGTTAATATTTTAACATAATAATAAATCTTTGTTTTTAAATTTCGAATTTATAATTTATTTTTTTGTGTTTTTTGAAATTTATTTTATCTATTTAAAGTCAAAAAGGGTAAATTTGCTTCTTTATAAGAACATGATGGATATTTTTGCACTTTTTAAAAGTTCAGGGGTATATATGCACTTCAACATATACTTCAAGGGTAGTTTTGTTCCGAAAAATAGAACAAGGGTATATTTGTTCCCACACCTATACTACAGGGGTATATTTGTACCTTTTCCCTTTAATGTTTAGCCAAAGTTTGAGTTGCATAACTAAGGGGGGTTTCAAATGCATCTAAAAAGACTGTTTTCACAATTATAAAAAACTTGAAATGCAACAGCGACTCAAGCTAACACAATATATAGTGTTTATATAGTGTAGCGAAAGTATAAATTACATACAGGTTCGAGTTCATATAGCTTCTTGAACTGCGTGTAGGAAAGAACTTAATACATCAGCATAATAGTAACTATAACTATGAAATAAATATAGGCAAGATAGAATGGAATCCATACAAATAAATCTTGAGCTTGCAATAAAATACTAGTAATACAAATATCATAGTGGGTGGACACAACTCAAGTCCATGCAAGAAATACTATTCATCATGTCAATTCCCTCCATCTCTGATACAATGAGATGGAGGAATCAACATAAACGTTCAAGTTAGTAGAAAGTCACCAGTTTGGAGGCCACAATTAGCATCATCTGGTAGACTGGCATAATTATTCCTGGAACTGCTTAGGGACAAGTTAGCAGTTCATAAGACTAATACTACAAACTCAAATTGATTGTAACGCTCAAAACTCATACCTCCAAGATTGCTATTCGCAGAAAGTTAGCATTATAAATAAAAATGCCCATTAGGCTTAATTCGAAGAAAACACCTGCAAAACTATTATTATTGCATTTGAAAAGGAGGAACACAAGGAAGGGGTTAAATCACTCTAACAATGATAAGTCTAAATGCATTACATGTGAAATGAATTAGATGTGGATTAGACATCACATTCTACTTGGTGAATTGTAAGAGACTGAATGAGTTAGCCTCACATAATAAGTGTTCAGAAACAAAACAGATGAAATGTCAAAGAAAAGAAGGGCACGATCGTACAGTCCAGTTTACAGTGACAGGCACAATGCTTGAACAATTAAAATAAAAATCAAATTAAAAATTAAAAATCAAGTAATGTTAACCAAGTAGGGCACTCAATATGGGGACATATGATCTACTTCTTCTTCATCATTACCCAGTGCCACAAAGGCTCCCACCTATGGTGGGGTAAGTGGGGGTCGGATGTACGCAGCCTTACCCCTATTCTATAACAGGGAGAGACTGATGTTTCTGGATGATCCGTAGTGAACTTCGCGTTGGAAATTTCATGAACTGACTACTGCTTCATAACAAAGAAGCGCACACAGTTTATAGAGCCATTTTGCTTTATTCCATCATATTCTCAAGCCAAAAAATAGTGAGTCTTTGGCTCCATTGCAAATGATGGAAAACATATGATCTACTACATTCTGTGATTCAAACACATGAGTGACATTCCTTAGATATCTCCAGTCCACTCTACACCCCTCTCACATCACTGCAGAGAGGGAATATTGATTCTCACAAAAAAAGAACCAAGTTAGCTTTGATAAGTTGATTATATTATATTTAAATGATGTGTGAATTTTCGAATACATCCTACACAGTTCAATCCATTTAACGATGTGCAAGTGCAAGATACTGCAATGTAGCCGCATGGCCCGCATGGTGTATAATAAAATATTCGGAGCACAAAAATTGAGAGTAAGCTGAAAATTTAATTCACCTGAAAGTGCACAATGGTTGGTTTGACTAGCCTGGTGTTGTATTGGAAGTCAAAAAAGCTTTGCCCTTTCACTACATCCTTGTAGTCCTGAAATAGAACTGTGAATATTTAGCCTAATGAAAGCTAATCTAAGCTCAAGCCATCTCATATAAGAGCTAGTAGGTTGGCCTTCCACTCAGTCCCACAAAGACTTCCACAGTAGAACCAAACCTTTTCAATCTCTTCTCTAGAGCGCGAGAGGCTCTCATAGTTCTTGTATTGCTTTAATCTCTCTTCGCGGCAAGACTTTCTGGTAATATTTAAACGTTCCCAAGGTATCCCTTGGATATCCTTTCCATTTCTGGCCTCCAGCGCTGATGTATCTGTTTTCCGATTACCCTGTCAAAATAAAATCACTGAAATCATTGAAGTCCTCTAAACTGGCAGGAACCCCGAACTATTTTCTACTTGAATCTGTGATTACCATTTGAAAATCATCCTCAAAGTCAGAATCTGAAAATTCATCCGGAATCATGCTGTCCTCTTCAAGCGGGCTGTGGTTTAAACCAGGCATGTTACTGTGGCCATCAACCATGCGCCCCCTATGCAAGTTGGCCATAGAAATAACACTGAAGTATACAAGAACAGAGAATTCGAATTTCCAATCAGATTTAGCGTATACTGATAATCAAAGTAGAAAACGGGTCAGCAATTCAGTGATCAAGGAGCAAACTTGAACTAAACTAACCTTGGAAGTGATGAAATCGGAGCTTCTAAAGCGGAGAAACAGATACGTTCGTCGGGACGATTGAACGAAATCCAATTCGGAGCCGCAAAAGATCAAAAGAGGGAGCTATTTCGGAAGTTCGGGCAAGAGTTACTTGCCGTGTGTAACGTACGGACAGTGCTTATAGCGGCGATCCATCCATTCGAGGAGTTCGGTGGGGCCCGCTGGTGGACCCTACAAGTTACCGCGAAATCCGCGGGGCTCACGTCGTGTGCGCAGCTGGATTTTTTTAGAATCTACGGCTATATTATCGTCCAGGTGCATGCAATCGGGCCAACAGTTGATGATGACTTTGTTTAATGTACATTATGAACATTTTATTTATTGAAGCTAAAAGTAACCTGAGCAAAAAAACTCAGTCCAAAAAAGATTCATACATTTTCACTTTTTTTTGTCAATGATGGTTAAGTTTGACTAATGATATCTTTCAATAGAACATTATTTAAAATATGAAAATTATATGAACATATTCCTTATTAAAAAATCTTACATAAAAATATAAAATTTATAAATTACAAATAAATATAATACCTAAAATCATTGTCTAAACTTTACCACCATTGACCAAAAAAGTCAAAATGTATCAATCTTTTTGGGACGGAGGTAGTATTTACGGAACCAGTAATTTGCGATAACAATCTTTAAAGAATTGCAAATTTTACTTGCTGTCACGCACCTTGTTTTACCTTACAAAACTACGTATTTATTTTAACGGCTATTTTAAGAGCAGTTGGTATAAAAAAACTAAGTTTTTTTGCAATTAGTAGTATGAATAATGTTTACTCGGGAGAACTATCAAATAAGCCCTCGAACTTTCATAAAAAATGTATCACGATCTCTGATTCATATCTTCTAATTCTACTTCTTTTTCTTATTTTTTTATCTTACAAAAACTTATTAAATTGTATCTATAATGCACCCCTATTAATTTCAATATGCGAGTCTAATGTAATATGATACTTTATAAATAAGCATTGATATAACATTTTTAAAATGAGCTCACATCAGTACCAAATGAGCACACATGACTTACAAAGTGCACAATGATATGAAAATCCTAAGATTTGTTAGTTGAATATCACGACATTTTAATTGAGCATTAAACCTCCTCTATTGAGATGAACATCACGGTTTCTAGTGATTGAGCATTAATGATGTTTTAATGAGCATCAGACCTATTATGTTGAGTATTAGGAGTCTAATTAGTTTGAAATATGCATTGGTATAACATTTTAGATTGAGCATAACACCAGTAAAAAATGGGCATACATTACTTACAAAATGAGCAATGATATGAAAATCATAAGCTTTATTAGTTGAGCATCAATACATTTTCATTGAACATAAAAGCTCTTCTAAATCATGCAATTGAGTATCATGATCTCTACTCCCACCATGTATATAATTTAACTCTTATGCGAATCTAATATGATACTTTTGAACTATGAATTAATATGACAATTTAAAATGAGCATAAAATCAGTACCAGATGAACATACTTAAATTACAAAATGAGTATCACGATTTGTGCTTCATATCTTCGAATTCTTTTTTCTTTTTCTTATTTTTTCTTTTATAAAAAATTATTAATTTATATCTACAATCCACTCTTATTAATTTCAATATGCGATTCTAATGTAATATGATGCTTTTGAAATATGCAATGAGATTACGACATCGTAAGGTTTACATAACTTACAAAGTGAACATTGATATGAAAATCGTAAGGTTTATTAGTTGAATATCACGACATCTTAATTGAGCATTAAACATCCGCTATTGAGATGAAAATCACGGTTTCTGGTGAATGAGCATTAATGAAATATTAATGAGCATAAGACCTATTATGTTGAGTATTAGGAGTCTAATTTAAAACAATACTCTAAAAAATATAATGCATTGATATGACATTTAGAAATGAGCATAATATCAATATCAGATGAACATACATAACTTACAAAATGAGCATTAATGAATTTGTTAGTCGGTTTGTTATATTGATGGACTCGGGCCGGGTCGGGCCCGGGTCGGGCCGCCGGGTAGTATGACATGGGCCCGGGACCGGCCTGAGGGTTGGACGGGTCCGGGCCGGGCCGGGCCACCCGCCCGGGTCACGGGTCGGGTCCGGTTAATTTTTTTTTATAATTTATATTTTATAGTTTATAGTTTTATACGAGTATTAAAAACAAACTTCAATTGCATTTATTTGAAATGAAATAGGAACTACATTTGAAAATTAAAACAAACTTTAAGAGATAAACATTTTGAAAATTGTAATCAATCGGAACTTCCCGCACCTCCCGATCCTTTGGCTTTGTCACATGACTTCATATGCTTGATTGCCATCCTGAATCCGCCAGAAACCCCCATGCTACATTTTTTCTCGCACCATTTGCAAATTGCGTACCACATCCCGGTCTTCGGGTCCTTCTGCTTATCAAAATTATACCGTATAATGGCATCTTGATTTTCCATCTTAACTTTTTAAGTATAAACTATAATGTAGATTAGTAGATATATAAATAATAAATATAATATATATTGGAGAATAAGAGAATTAGAGAGTAGAGAGTTAAGAATAGGATTTAGGAAGAATTGGAGAAGAGATGAAAAAATGTTTAAGATTAGGAGTATTTATAGGTTTTTTTACCCCCCAACCCCCCACCACCCCCCACCAGCCAACCCCCCCGGACCCCCCCTTTACCCCACCCAACGGCTATATAGCCGTTTGGGTTGTCCCCAGCCCCACCCCCAACGGCTAGTAGCCCAAGATTTAATTTTTTTTATATAAAATAGGACCGGACCCGGGCCCGGGCCGGGTCACATTATTCCAGCACCGAGCCCGCCCCGCCCCTTCCCACCGGTTCGGTCCCATACCCGGTCCCGGACCGCCCAACCGGGCCGGTCCCGGGCCCGCACAGTACCGGGCCGGGCCGGGTCACGGGCCGGGTGGCCCGAACCGACTCCACCCCTAGTTTGTTAGTTGAACATCACGAGATTTTCATTGAGCATTAAACATTCTTTATTGAGATCGACGACAATCACGATTTTTGTTAAATGAGCGTTAATTAACTTTTAATGATCATCAGACTCATACAAATGAGCATATGTAACTTACAAGATGAGCATTGATATGAAAATTGTAAGTTTTGTTCGTTGATCATCAAGACATTTTCAGTGAACATCAAACCTCCGTTATTGAGTATTAGAATCGTGCCATTGAGTATAATGATTTGTGGTCTCGTGTCTATAATCAACTTCTATGTGAATCTAATGTAATATGAGACTTTTGAAATATGCATTGATATAACATTTTAAAATGAGCGTATCATTTTATAATACATAAATAAAAACTTCAGTTGGAAGTTTGATTGGAGAAAGACAAAAAATATTTGGGTCATTTACTAATATTTATAGTATACATTTTTATAATAATTGAATATAAATAATATTAAAGTAGAATGATGCTAAAAAAGAAAAAGAAAGGAGAACAAACAATAAAAAACAAAAAAGAAAGGAGAATAAAAAAATTAAAAGGAAAGGAGAATCGTACGTAACAAACTAACAGTTGAATAGCAAGTATCAAAGATCAGCCAAGTAGCCAACTCACGATACCGTAGGAGTGGATCAGGGAGTACGCATGAGGAGCAAAATACTGGAAACAACTCAGCCTGTTTATTATCCTCAAAGTTATTACTAATTACAAAAATACCGGATGTACATGTACACACGGTGTACCTTATAATTTGCCGACTAAGAGCCTGTTTGGTGACATCTTTTTTCAGTTTATCAAGCTTATCAGCCAGCTTTTTCACCAAACATGTAATTTTGATTTCGCGCGCTGAAGTTTGTAATAAGCAGAAAAAGTAAGGTTGGAGTTACTTTTCTGGTTGTATTGGTTAATGTTACTGTAGAGAATCATTTTAACTATTTTTTCATATAATTTTTTATTAAATTTATTAATAACAAATATTTTAAATATAATTCTTTCATGAATCAGCAGAATCAGCCAATACAACCACTTCACCCAGAACTTCATAAATTTTAGCAGAATCAGCTAATTCAGCATAAAAGTAGTCCAAAATTCTATATTAGGACTATATTCCTTTTATTCCCAAAAAAGAAGTAATATATATGTCCTTCCCATTCTACCACAACCTATAATTTCTAATAGATTTATTTATTAATACAAAAACACATAGTTTTATTTATGACAAAAACATAAAAAAGCGTAAACTATTTATAAATTAATAAAAAATCGGAAAAAAAATAAAATAAAATAAAAATAAAATAAAATAAAAATTAAAAAAAAAATTAAAAAAACTTACAAAAAAATAAAAAAAAATAAATAAAATACCTAAAAATATATTAAAAAATATGTAGGCTATTACCTCTACATCCTCTGATCGATGAAAAATTGCCATCTTGTGTTAAAAATGCCACATTTATCTGAAAATGCAATAAAGATGACATTTTTACTCTCTGAAAATATTCAGCTTTCTTTTCAAAATTGCCATCACGATGACATTTTTCCCCAACTTGGCAATCTTTTCCGACGACCGGATGTGGCGGTGCAGGAAGGTGGCTAAGGTGGTGGTTGAGGTCTGTATATTTTTTATTTATTGTTTACGATTTTTGTTTTTTTATGTTACTTTTTTTTTGTGTTTTGTAATGATTATTTAAAAACCCCTATTAGGAAGGACAAGGGAAAGGGTAGAATAGGAAGAGTTAGTCCTATTTTAAGAATCTAAATATTAAACTTCTATGGTTGCAATTATCCTTTTATTTAGTCCTATTTAGGGAAATCTCCCTTATTTTAATTTTTAATTGATAACTAACAAACTACTTTAGCGTGTGTTATTTTTAGGTCCGAGAAATCATGCATAAATATAGACGGAAACAAAATGGAGAGCAAATTTAAATTGTTAACATAGAAATTTTAAGAAGGGATCTCGTACAGAGTTAAGACGACCCTAAGGTACGTCTGAGAATATGAGGAGAACGTTAAGCTAATGCAATGTTTGGTAAGCCATAATACAGTGAGAAATATAATCCACTGTTACTAAAACACATTGTATGTGTTTTAATTTCCTAATGGAAAAAGCGGTCG